GTCTGCTGAAAGTGATTGCTTTAGTTGACATCATGTGTAAACCTGCAGACTGTAAACATAACGAGAAATTAATGCGAGGTTTTGGCAGCGTGAAGCTGGCTCCCAATACCGATAGTTTGATATTGCAGAATATATTGAAGGCGAACGTTTTCTTTGTGCATGGATTATCTATTGTAACAACTTCTTCAAAGGTATGTAAATCTAACAAACGATAAAAATGGGTGATTTACAGGGTTCAAACATTACAACCAAATGTTTAACGCGTGTGATACAGAACACCTACCTAAAATCAGTTGTTAACTTAGACTACAAAACTAGTAGAATTTGGTATTACTTTGAGATTTCTGTTACAGGTACAATACAACGAACAGAGTATTTTGGGCAACTAAAATGTAAAATCACATACAACACACCTTTTACTGCATTTTTGTGTGTTTGAAGATGTTCTTTTCGCACGGAACACACATGAAATGTCACGTTACTGTAATAAGGTAAGGTCATTTCAGCGTGATGACACTATAAAAATGTTCTCAAGTGATCCCATCATTCCTTGACACCTAAATCAGAACGAAACAATGGATGTCATATATGCAACCTAAACGAGGTAGCATGATACTCCCAGCAGGTCACGATGTCTTTTGGCCATAATGTACTGACGATAGGATAGCTAACCACTAGCCAGTTAAATCTGATTGCCCAGAAGCGAACATTATTTACCATTTTTGATGTGCATTGATTTTCCTCTTACAGTCACAGAACTTTTGACCTTCCTCGCTTTTGCAAACACTTGATGCTGAGGAAGATGGGTGTTTTCCCCTCTATTGTGACCTGGTAAAAAACATGATTGGCTGTTTCAACTTCTGTTGACATTAACAAAATTCGGTACATTTCAGATCCCACGCAGAAGTAAAATGCTGATCATATTCCATATCGCGATGTAGTAATACTTTAATGACTTGGATTTTCTATTTCACTGTAATGACACGGTAAAAGCGACCCGCATTCTTAGGACACTATTTTCATTTTACACGATAGACTCTTCACATCAGCCGCTTAGTTCGATCTTTTCCAATAACGAAACCATACATGGGCAGCTTTCTACAAAACTCGATTATTCAATTTCCCTATCGTGAATTTTCTATTTCTGGTTAGCAATATCCTTGCATCCCCAACCTACGGTATTTGCAGGTCACAGTTGATCCGATATTCATGGGCCTGTTCCTATTATCAGGATTTCGTGAATGACGGACAAGCTTTTAACACGTTTGTAAAGATGCAGGTTGTTGAAAATTATGGGGGAAGTCTTATGATCGTCATAGTGATCTCATTTAGAAATATTGTATTTCTTGGTGCGACATGAAGCTGGTCGTGTTTGATGCTTGTTAGTTTGCCTGCTGGTTACGTTATTCTATACCGTGTTCTCATTTGAGAAATACAATACTTACTTGAATTGACCAAAAATTACGCATGGCGTGTGTCGTCGATGAATTCTTCTGGAACACCTGGTCTTATTCTCCTTGTACATTTCCTGGAGTCTCCGTATAAATCTTTCTTTTGTTCATTCCTTCCTCAGGATTTATACAATTATGATTTGGATTATGATTATGTGAAGATGTTGGTATTTTTTATACCTATCCTAGAAATATAAGTACTGCAAGCAAACCGTGTGTCTTATATTGAAAAATGGATTACATCGATGTGGGCACAAATTGATGAAGATAAATGACATATCTTATCAAGTGATACTATGCGTAGTCTCCTGCAGGACCAGCCTGATAATATCGGAATTTTCAGATGTAAACAAACTGAAATGTTTTATTGATGTTCATCAGAACAGAAACTGATTTCTGTTCTGTAGTAAAATGTTATAAATATGTGATAAAAAACAAAGAAGTCTTTTTCGTCTTAAGTATGTATACACGGTTTGGCACCATCGCCCCATACTGCGCTAATGTACTCGTGTGTACAGGTAGTGAATTTCAAAATCAATATTATTAAAAGGCTATCGGTATTATGTTTTAATTCAACAATCAAAAAATCTTAAAATTTAAACTGCCTTCGTGTAATCAGATAGTGCCTTAATAAATAAACTCTCCGAATAAATAAATAATTATTATAAAAATCACTAATGGACATCGAGACTATTTATGAATACATTTTTGTCTGTTTCCTCTGTACAAATACCATTGTATAACGGATAAATACCGTATGAGATGGCCTTCCAGATTTAAGTTATTTGGGCTTGTAGATACTGCAATATAAAACCTATTTAAAGAAAGGATGTCTGTGTTATTTACCGTGCTTACGAACTTTCGATTGAACTCTTTATAGTATATCACCAGACCCGGTCAACCGAACAAATTTAAAGCCCCATTGATTTCATTATCAACGTTTATGGGAAATCAGAAAAAGAACATATATCATTAAAACCAGGGTCGATTTAACTACCGTCGAGACTTCTAGCATCAATAACATGACTACGATATACAAGTACATATGAGAGGTGTTGTGAGTGGTCGTAAATAATGGTTTAGTTTATTTGACCAAACCTACATATCATTTGATATTCAAAGTGCAATTGGATCAGTTTGGTGGTGGCAAATAACGTAACAGTTTGCTATATAACAGTGAGAAGGGAATGTCTTTCACCACATTTCAAACGTGGACGTCTTACTGATATATCGGATATATTTCCCGATCATTCTTGTTTTAAAGAAAAATATCGATCTTTTGCATTTGGATCTGTTACAGTGAGATGATGATTGAAACACATTTCTACAGTCACAAAGGTAAGTGAAGCAAAGCGACGAAGTGTAATCCCTTCGTATATCCATTTACGTGTTGAAAAACCTTTCCAAACATTCATTGTACAATTGTTTACTCCTTCAGATAGGCAATAAGTTCGATTGGACAAATTTAACGACCAGTTTCATCAATAGACGTAGTACGTAGATATACCGTTTGTATAAGACACACTAATGGTCACCTAATTGTAATTCGAATGGAGATTTTAAATATATCGTAAAATCCTTGTGTTTGTAGGTTTTCAATAACTGGTATTGTAACAATTACAATGGTCAATCTGTGACGTAGAAGTCTCTGCGTGTTACTCGAATATATGATCTAGATAGGTCATACATTATCGGTACATCTGAAGAAAAGGATACCAATGAAGTTTCCATAATGAAAGCTTCAAAGTATTAAGATTATTTTAATATGAATTATCTGTCAAGAGTTATATTGGTGATTATTTATTTAGTATTTACACATCAGGGAAAGGATATGAAAGAGTTGGTTTTGAGTCTGCAGTTTGGAAGAATTGGAAGCTTCAAATGTAACTGTTTTGTCTGAAATATCTGTGTAAGATATATTTCTAGTTTGGCTCGAGGTTAAGCTAACGATACATTTTAAATCAATAGCTTGATTCAGAGGCTTTCATGTAAACAGCGCATTTCTTATTAAAGGGAATAGTTTTCAAAGACAAACAAAAACGCTGCAGGAGCTGATTGCAAAATAAATCAATGTTTAATCGCAATATGGATATAAACATGTAGCTTAATATATATATATATAGACTCTGGATTTTGCCGGGTTGGACCTTACTGATACCAGAAATTTCAACGATTTGAATCAAAACACTATTGTCAAAATGTAAAATTGCCAACATTATGACGAAAGTACGAAAAGATTACACAAATATGGAAACATTTTCGAAACATATATGTAACATATTTAAATTCAAATGATTGCCTTACAGTAACAGGTTTTATATATACTAATTGATGGTGAGCAAGTACCGGAAGAACAGGTCGTAGAATTCTATCAATTATTCAGCTTTGTGGCGGACCTTTCAGATTTTGCTAACCATTGATACCGAGTTGTTGGTATTCTGTGTACTTGGAATTGATGGAACAAGCAACATGATTAGATATTAACTATTCAATAAAAAAAACATTGCTTCATGTGGTTTCCTATTGTGTGTTAGATGGTTATAAAAGGACTTTTGATTTGCGGTGTACACAACAACCTCGGAAGGATGGTTTGTTTGCTATCGATTTATAGAAGTTTTATTCTGACTTATTCCCTGAGTGATGTTTGTTTGTTGAACATGTAGCCGTACATTAAGGACGATATTCGTTATTATCAAAACTAGTTAATTCGTTGGACACAGTTAAGCTCTTACCTGGATAAGTAAAACGCGGTTTTGGATTGGACAAATGAAACGAAGTTTCCCACTGGACAATTCAGAAATACATTACACTGGAAAAGCAAGACGTAGTTAGACTGGAAATGGAGACGTAAGGTAGCCAGAAGAGGTTTTATACTGGATAAACTACTCTTGTAATCAATAAATACATACTAGCTTCCAATGGACAGGTTTTATGTCCGAAAATTTGAAATCCCAACATTAGATTTCATAAATTGTTAATGAAAAATTCCAACGCATCTTGATTCTTCGCAGTATCGACTATTGGTAGTGAAAAAAGTAAAGAAAGTAAATATTTTTCATATCATATTGGTTATATTGGTCCACATATTGTTGAATGCAATTTAATCATCGTTTATTTAATGTTGCAGTTTATTGATCCGAGACGACAGTGGCGAAGATTTATACTGACATGTCAGGATCTACTCTCGCAAAGAGACATCCAGAGATATCCCCATAGCGATCAACTGTGACGTGAGGGAACTGCTACAATACCTGTCTGTGTAATGGACCTGGCCCTACGTTGGGTCCATTTCACCATGAAGTACTTATAAAATACCAAAACTTCAGTGTGTGTTTATTATCAAAAAGAATGTTAACTTAATCATAAGCCAATTGCGTGATATCAATATATCACCAACATAATTTTAAAGGCACTTAAACAGGACATATTATTCTATATGTTATTGAGTATCCACCTAATGCGTCACATCACTGATTGTCTTTCCGATTAAGACTGGGTCGCTAAGTGCACTTATTTGACATCGTTTGCTAGTTTTTTCAACAAGACAATATGCCTTCATTGTACGAGAAGGTAGTTTCAGTAATTGAAAAAAGTCCTGATCAAAGGACAGATTTCGATTGTCAGGAACTCATAGGATGGTTCAGGAATAAGTCACCACTTTTTCTGTCTCTCAAGCCAGGTAAGTCGTTTTCAATTAGATTTCGATTTGTAATATTAATTTATATCTTTAACATTTAAATGTTTCACGTGAAGTATATTTCGTTATGAAATTCATTTCGTGATGTTCGAATCTTAAACTTTGTATATAAATTTTGATTTTTCATACAAAATGTTATATCAAACTCTTAAAAAGTCAGTAGATCCAACGTCTTAACGAAATGCGATTACTGAAACGAGAGTACATATTACAAAAAGACAAAGGAAAGATTTATACGAAAACTTCATAACATCTACATAGCGTTTCAGACAACATATTACTTAATGTGAAGTGTCCTCTGATTCAATACAACAGATTTAGATAAAACTCTAAAATACACTACAGTTTATAAATGAAATAAAATAATTTACGCTCGACAAACCACTTTGTGGCGAGTTTTATAATCAATTAATTCGACCGTTTTACGTTCAGGAGGTGAGAAAATGTTAACGGATGCTTCAGGACTTGAATCATATATTTTTGCTTTCTTACATGATATTTAGGTTCACATTCAAGGCGACCTGTTTAGTTGAATACAATTAAAAATTAATTTATCTTATAATTAATGAATATAGTGTTACAATACTAAAATTGTGAAGCATTTCATCTGACGTAACAACGACACATACATCACAACTAGTGCTGAAACAAACACCGATAACAAAGACAAAATCCAACGGACTCCGATCCACGGAGACCAGTGAACTATTTACTTTTGGTTGGTAATCGTGACCGAGAATTGATTGTACAGACCAATACTACGTTTTCTGTCCTGAATCCATCTAAAACTAGTATAATATGAATAGCCGATTATACATCATTTCCCAAAAGAGTTTTTCTTTATTGATCAATGGATCAGTTGGATGAATTCATATCGGTATCTGATTTGATTATTGATAAGTATTGTGTAGAAGACACGTCAGTGAATAACACGTTTGATATCACTTTTTGATAAGCCATAGCTAATTTTCTTTCCGTTGATTAAAAGAGATTAAAAAAACAACGTTCAAGCTTAAAGTTGTAGAACGCACGTGTTTTAGTGTATGTATGATATTGATATAACATCGTCTTTTATAGAATTAAAAATAAGTATTTAGTTAATCCATCGTTGCTTAGGTTGGGACGACATAACTAAGCACAGCCCTCTATTGGTAAAGTTAATCAAACCACCCATCCGTTCACTTCATGTTGATTTCTAGTATGAATGTAAAATACATTACCATTTATCGAAATGTTTGAAATCGATTGCTATTTAATTCCTGTCATGTTATTGACATGCTTATCACGTGTTGACAACCTTACCTCATACGGCGGTGTTGTGAAAAGACCTAAGCACTCTTTCATTCAACTTTCGTATACAGCTTTAAATATAATATCGGATAAAACTTCTGTGTTCTCAGATGAAGGGACATTTCAATAAATGTTCTATTGAAATGTGAACTCAACAAACTCTATTTTTCTTTTTCCTTCTAAGTTTTCAATGACGCGGTTAAAATAATTCAGTACTCGTAAGCTTATTTGTAGAGCAGGATTAAATATTTTGATTAACGGTGTGTCTGCTCTGAATCTTGACTGCATTTAATAATTTTTTATCAAAGACAAAACATGCCTTTTTACTATTTTTTTTCTATCTATATGATAATATCACGAATCTGAAAATACATTTTCGTTTTTATTAATTGAATTCAACTGTCAAGGGATCAGACAAATATATACGGATCTGAATTGTATATTAACTTAAGTGCAGTTTGTGCAGACGTCCCATACATGTAAATCTATATTAAAATTTATTCGAAAAACGTCACAACAAATTCAATTCAACTTTTGATCGCAAAATCCAATTACAGAACGTAGTTTGATATACACAAAATTATAATTGATTATAACCAATTGTCATTAAAATGTTCCAAGGAGTACGCCTTCAAAACAATACAACTGTGTGACTTTCCTGTGTCCGCATTATCTTCCATAGGAAGATGATCTATTAATATAATAAGCAGGCTGTTACCAATCCTATGATACCGTCACTGTATTTATGTTAAGGAAAGACATTTGTATGTCTTTAAGTATCAATCTCACGCTCAAATGTTATTATTTCATTTGAAGACCTTTAATGATGCTAATTTCATGCGAGATTCCATTTCAAATGTGCTTGCAGATATTGTCAAGGATGTCATACGCCATTGTGTGTTCGAGAAGAAAGTGCGAGATGACGTTATCATCAAGCAGGGTGAGGATGGAGAAAGGTAGGTTGAAATGCATGGAACAGACGTGTTGGTATTGGTTTTCATTTCATTTTGATTTTTTTGTTCGATGATTTTTACACTGCTTGTTAAGGTATTATCTGGATTTATTTCGGTACTATTCCAGGTTATACATTATTTTGAAAGGGAAGCTATCAATTTACGTTTATCACGACAAGGAAAATGAGCAGGAAATACGACAACATGTGGAGAGGGTATGTTCCAAGGCCAAGCTGGACAGGTCAGCCCTTGGACAACATGTGTGGACATCAGGTCAGTTTTTTAAATGACAAAATAAATGATGAAATCCTTCTTAATTTATTGATTATTACAAAAGTAATGAATTTTGACATACATTACACAATCATAATAATGATTTAAAGAAAATTTGATTTTCGCCGAACAATTTCTACAAATTATTTGGGAACCATGGCAGATATCATTTGAAAAAATCGCCATAGTTAGCAGTATTACAACCCATTCGCTTCACTCTCACTCAGAATTTATCATTCTGAATAGTTTCCTGTAAATTAAAACTTAAACACAAGACTTTCTGTAAAACATTTTACTTTTTTTATTTTTTTATCTTTTTTCTGATATATAATATTTTTATGAACCCTCTTACTGACAGATCAAAATTCGCCTTGAAAGATCAATAACTCTCTCAAAACTCTTCTGATGTATATTTAAGAATCAAATATTGCCTTTCAAGATGTATCTCTCTAAATATGTAATTAAGTAGCTAGCTTGCTTGGTGAAACGTTGGTTGGTCTACTCTTAAAACGTAGAATAACGTTTCTACCTATTCCATTCCCAATATCGTTGAACCTGCTGTTATGTTATTTATTTAATTATTCTATTTGGGATATGTCGTAAAATAAATAGATTTAGTCAGATGTGATTTAATCTTTACTATTGATCTTATTGTTGAACCATTAAAGGAGACGGACAGACTGTCGGAGAGATTGCCCTGATAAAAGAAGATTGTATCCGAACTGCAAGTGTGGTGGTTGACGCTAATTCGGAACTTCTTGTCATCGACCGAGCGTTATACAATAGATCAGTCCGGGACGTGTTAGAAAAGGAGTTCCGAGAAAAGACAGAATTCGTGGAGAAAAATCCACTTTTTGAGCATTGGACGTCACGGCAGAAAAAATCCATGGCTATTTCGTTAAAGAGGGATACGTTTCATTACGGCTGTCGCCTCACCAAGCAGGGACAGGAAGTGGACAATGTTTACTTCATCAGAAGGTTTGATATGTTCAATAATACAAATCCTTCTCACCGGAACCGAAGTGACATGGGCTTAATATGTTAGGACTACGTAGGGAAAGCCCACTTGGTTGAACAGATGGCCCCCATACCACATCCATTCGATAGGTTAAGTCAAGCCAGGTCGTATTTCTGGCTAGCGAGTTTTTACTTACACCATAAGATGTTCCCTTATTCGCTATTCCTATTGCGCAAGTGTACCTCGCCAACTAGAGCTTGACTTCTTTATCAATTTGGATTTTCCTCAGTCACCCTCGAGGTTTTAAAATAAAGACCCTTAGTACATTCACTTTAAAAAACGTTAACATGTTTAATTGAAACAATTAAAATAAACCTTGATTTCTTTTGTAGTGGAGAAGCGGAAGTGATCATCGATCAGGGTAGTCATCGAAGTCAATATCAAGATCTGTGGGCGGAAATGGTTCGGCTCTTACCGGAACTGCTACCACCGTAAGTATAGATGCCTTATAAATCAGTAAGGTGGTAGGGGCTGTCCACGACTCATTGTCTACCTGTAAACAATTCAAAGTCTCTTTTACATTTTGGTCAAATAAAACCCGAATTCGTTTGATGTCCATTTTATACGAGCTGTGGTATTTTGATATTGATTGGGAATTTTACTGGTAGTTTAACACCTTTACAGACCCTGTCGGCCAAACTAATACAAAACATGGTGTTTGGAGATAAAAACAGAATTAAAAGTAAGGTCATACACAGGTCTTGTGTTTATGGGATATTTCAGTGTATATGGAGACAGTAGATAATAGACAAATACTTTCCTATCAAAATAAAAGTGTTTCAACACGTGCTATTTAATTGTTTACGAATCAAGCGACACTAACAGTAGGGGCATGATAATATCATCTTAAGAATCAAGAATCAACGTCCAAGTTATCGTTTTATGAGTAAAGTTAGTACATTGTGTTTATCTTTTATAACAGGTAAAAATTGATTTTGTTCCTCAGTGCAAATATTCTTTATTCTTGTGTCCACTGTATAGACAAAATTAAGTGCATTATACCAAATTGTTGTCAACATTGTCAAACTCTCTAAAATCACGATGAAAGCTGCCTAGGAGACCATACAAATAAGAGAACCTAGACTACTGTCAATATGCCCTTTAGCTATCCAAGTGTCTGTTACTGCGTTAAAATCTGTCTTGTCATTGTCAAATATTCCAAAGTGGGTCAAAATTAACTGTCCTCATTTGAGACATTACTGACAAAGATTTGCATGGTGGATGTCGACGAAGATTAAAAGACTCTTACCGTTCCGGAACTTCTTATCTTATTTTTCTTTCTTTTTTTTTTTCGGTGGTCTTCGTGTAAATCATTTCGTTGTTCATTGTTTTCGTCGGCAACACAATCGTCAGAATCTGTCAACACTTCTCAAGATACATCTAGATTGATCCAAAAGTCCATTTTACGATATGTTTGCTTCACCACATTTCAATTAAATTGTCACATGTGACATGAGAATAAACGAGTGTATAGTTTTTGCGTAATTTGCAAGTTCGATATTTCTTTAAAAATCCATGACATTAAATGAAACGCTTCAAATACGAGAAAGGATTAACGTCTCGGTGGTAGTTCCTGCAATTACCTACACCAGATATACGACGTTCATTGATTATTGTCTTCATATAAGGCAAAGGATTCTCTACAAACAAACTACATATTTAAATGGGTGTTCATCATGATAATACAGAGGATTTACTAATTGCGATATGCAGTAAGATATATTCTTTACTATGTCTAGTTGTGTCATTTCTAGGAGTCCTATCACTTTGTTCGTGGGTATCTGACACACAATTAAAAAGAGGGGCGACGAATTCCCTTTATCGTCACAGACGAAATGATTGCATTTCGCTACTGATATTTCAGAACCTGCTTCAGACATTAATGTAACCCCTGTACCAATGGAATATTTTCCTCTTTCTAATGAACTCGTTTATGATGCTGTTATCATCTGTTTACATTTGTGTACGTGTTATATTGATGTCTGAAGTAGACCGATAACGAAAATATTTCATTTTCGGCGATTTCTGGAATTTAACGTCGGTTTTCAGAAGGAATCAAAATCTCATCAATAAGTAAGTTCTTCTCGCTTTCTAACAGCCTACGGCATCTGTCTACTATGTAAAAGTTTTGATATAGGTGGAGAATAAAATGGGTAGTGACAGGAACACTTACTCTCCTGGAATCTTGGTCTAACTTTACAAGTTAAGAGGTTGTCAATTTCTTTTTGTAGTACATGTAAATCAGTCCTTTTCTTATTACATCAACCCTATGTTTTGTTTAAAGGGCATGACGATAATATTCAAATGTTTTGCTTCAACATATGAAATAAATAATTTCCTTTGCAAAATCACTTAGAATTTACCTGGTCCAAACAGATGCAACATTAGAAATTCTACAATTCACGGATAATGTATACGTATCTAAACGAGCACTTTGCTTTATCATTAGTAATTTCACCTCCTCTGTTGCATATATGATTTTCATCATTTCCAGAAATTACGGTATGAACTACACACCATATGAAACCCTGAAAAGAAAAAGAATTGCACACAGACAGTTCCCTATGTGTCTTCTAGGAGCCAATGAAATGGTCGGTAAGTTTTTACAGATATCCAATGAAATTGTTCGATAGTTACATATCACATCGTGAACAGTCAATATTGCGCCAAGAAGAAGAGGGTCGTTAAGCTATATGTTTATTATCCCCATCCAGCTGTGGTCGATGATCGAAAAAGAATATTTTAATACTGCTGAACATGTCCGTGCGCCATTCTGTTATTCCATCCGTCCGTCCGCGTAACCATTTCCAGACACTCTCAGATGAACCATTCTAACCCAAACTTCACAAACGCTTTTCTTATTGGAAGGTCAAAAGGTCAAATGTAAAAGTCACTGTTACTGTAAATAGAATTACGGGTTTGGTTACCATTTCTAGTTTCTGCATTTATATCCAGAATACTTGCTTATGGTAGCTTTTCCAGTAAATAACTAATTCCTTTTGTGTTGAACGAAATCGAACGTCACACGTTTCTTCGCTGACGACGAGGTTAATGATGTGAAAATCAAAGGTAATGATGACTGTTATCATAAATGAAAATAACTAACTTTATTTCCAATGAGTCGTCTTGACCCAGACTCCACATAATTATACGACTGTGGATTGCCTTTACAATGTAACAATGTCATTGTTACTATAAATAGAACATTTATTCCGAGACAAAAATTCGAGCTCTTCTAGACTGAACAATCTCAAATATACAAATCAATACTTGACAATCAACTATTTATTTATGGTTTGAGGTAATTACATTCTCGGTCCCAATCTTCTGTCAATCTTATCGCTATACTGACAGAATGAAACGAAGGGCAGTAACATTGAGAGATCAAAATGGGTGATTACAACAGAGCAGGATTCGTGTGTAGACTTCTACTAATTGAAATCTAATCATCGCATAGACATTTGCTATTCTGTTTCACTGCAAAGAACAGAAGTACTAACAGCATTTATAATGTCTCCATGTGTCCATCAACAAAGCAATAGTCCTTAAAGCCGTTCATTAATGATGGAACATCTAAAAATCGATATTAGAATGACATAACACTGCAGTGTCATAACCTGGACTTACAAACATGTCATATCACCAGGTTACAGTATAATAATTACTGGCAAACCTGTTGATACCACTCTTGTGAAGCGGGACGTCAAACTGAGATCAGCATGTATCAGTTTTATAGATTTCGGGGTGTCTTAGAAATAGAATCCAGAACTGGTTGAGTTCATCAAGGTTTCGTTAAGTGTTGTCGAAACAGAAAAGAAAAGAAAAAGAAGAAAACTTACTGATATGTTCACATTTCATACGTTTTTACATTCATTATCCCTTTTTCACAGGAGCTTTGGAGCTTGTCGTTGGACTTCCTACGTTTATAGAGACATGTACAGTGACGAGAAGTTCCGAAATACTAGTTCTCAGTAAGGCCAATTATCAGCGCCTATTTCATCGTAGGTCCGCATCACGTGCTGTTGAGATGTTGAAACAGACTTTATGCATGCGGCTATTTTTGTACATACACCGAGCACAGTTATCGGATACCTATGCACCTTTTCTGAAATATCTCACAATTAAATTACGTGATAAGGAGTCATTAAAACTCTTGAAGTCTAAGCACAAAAAACGTACTGGGAACAATGAGTATCTGTATTACGGCTTCTATGAATACACACGACTAGAAAAACATGATCAGGGCCTAGTAAAGTTAATGAAAGTGTTAGATATACATTATATGGGTCTAGATAGCTATCTCCCAGAATTGGAAACAAGTACTCGGGTTTTGATGGAACTTGAGAAGCAAATGACGGAGTGGAAACACAGGAGCCAGGGAGGGGGAGATAGCATGGAAGGAGATTCAACAGAGTCACAGCACAAGCGGAGAGCGCAGACTGCCAGGAACGGTACAAGGCAAAAGAAAAAGTACATGGTCGAGGTAATGAAAGCTGGCACCATACAATATGTATGTACTTGGCATAATATTATTCGGTTATGAAGAAGAATAATTACAGTTTGTTACATTTCACGCGATATCTTGTACAAAAATGTGAAATATCATGCTTTACAATTTGTCAAAGATTGTTGGATTCAAGTTAAAATATTTTTTGTATTCTCTCTTTTTTTATTTTTGTTTACATTACCATATAGAAAAGGTAAAAAACACTGGTGTGAAGATTGGTACCAGAATACATATTTATTACTATACATATCTCGAATGTAATGTTATAAGTTATCCGTAAGTCTGTATTTGATACCAGGTCATATGATCAGAACGGTAACAGAATGGACGGTCTTCATGATAAATTATCTGATCATTTGTGTGTTTTGATATACACCCGAGATATGTAATTCAGTAAAGATGAAAAAAATCACACAATTATCGAAATCGTGAATTGTTCAATTGCTGATATCATTGCAATCTAGCACATTTACATTATTATATGTACTATGTTATTTCTTCAGAAGGGTATTACATTAGAATGCATTTCTATTATGTTATTACGATATGATAAATCTACATTACAATGTAACTATTAAGATTATTATAACAATGACATGCTTACATTTACGTATCAATGCAATTATTACGATGAATTTCATCAGTCGAGTTACCAAGGCAATGTTATTGTTGTGAGCACAGAACGGTGACTGCCCACCGTCAAACTTGCTGTTCTACCTGACATATTTAAGTTAAATCGGATTATTATCGGCATAAGACGTAAAGATGCATTGGAAATGTAAATATAAGAATTGGGCTGACATTTATTATCTGTGTAAATGACTTGCAAACACCATACTGCTAATATAGTGTTTTTTTTCTGCAAAACTTTTGTCATAAGTAATGACAATAAATGTCATTTAGCGTTCAATACTGATATAATTATATACGTTTCAAATTTGAAGTCGCAATCATCTAATCTATATTTAGTCATTTTTGTTTCTTATCGTTCTATCGTCCCAGGCGCTGAATGAACCACCGAAATTAGAGGCCTTTCTGCGTTCCAAGACGACGTTATGACCAGAGGGAAATGATGGGATGTAGAATATGATGTTGTCAACATGAATGGTAATAATGGACTGCTTTGATTTTCGTCAACGAAGATTAAAAGTGACTATGCTGCAATGACGTATTTTTATGATCTTTTAAAAGAAAACGAAATAAAGATTTAACGGCAGTAAGTTTTCTTGTAAAAAAAAATACTTTCAACCATCGTCAGATTTTTAACACAAAGCCCATTTGTACGGATTGAAGGTTTCGGACTGATATGCATTTACACACACAATATCAGATGAAAGAGACATATATTCCTGAAAAGTGAGCGCTTTCTTCTAAAAGAACAAGATTTACCATGTAAATCGTTGCCATGGCGGATTGCATAACAGACACACTTTCACTTTAATGTATGTCTACCAGTAGGTTGTAAGTGGGACAGTGTTGGCATTGTTAGAATTGATGACTTGCATCCAGATTTTCTTGTTTTAAAATTTTCTACTACAAAAATAAACTATGAAGTGACCATCTGACTTAAGTCACCGACCATTACCCGATAAATGATAGAATTAGTCTATATGAGTCGCCTCCAAAATGATTCTACCAATCTCTCCTTCTACAGTCTACACAGTGTTATACAGTTAATTCGATATTTTAAGGACCTACTACCAATAAAATTATGTGAAACGTGTGTTTATCTGATACCACATATTGATTCGGCAGACGTTATTTGTTGGAAAATGTAGAAATGTTTTGTGGTCGGTACAATGATATAATGAAAATATTTCACTTCCTTATGTGATATGAAGTTAAATGATTTTAATGCCCGTTAATGTTCCTGGTGGTTCCTGATCTGATATGAATTTAAATGATTTCGATGCCCGTTAGTGTTCCTGGTGGTTCCTTATCTGATATGAAGTTAAATGATTTCGATGCCCGTTAGTGTTCCTGGTGGTTCCTTATGTGATATGAAGTTAAATGATCTTGATGTCCTAAGTTAAATGATTTTGATGCCCGTTAGTGTTCCTGGTGGTTCCTTATGTGATATGAAGTTAAATGATTTTGATGCCCGTTAGTGTTCCTGGTGGTTCCTTATGTGATATGAAGTTAAATGATTTTGATGCCCGTTAGTGTTCCTGGTGGTTCCTTATCTGATATGAAGTTAAATGATTTTGATGCCCGTTAGTGTTCCTGGTGGTTCCTTATGTGATATGAAGTTAAATGATTTTGATGCCCGTTAGTGTTCCTGGTGGTTCCTTATCTGATATGAAGTTAAATGATTTTGATGCCCGTTAGTGTTCCTGGTGTTTCCTTATGTGATATGAAATTAAATGATTTCGATGCCCGTTAGTGTTCCTGGTGGTTCATTATCTGATATGAAGTTAAATGATTTCGATGCCCGTTAGTGTTCCTGGTGTTTCCTTATGTGATATGAAGTTAAATGATTTTGATGCCCGTTAGTGTTCCTGGTGGTTCCTTATGTGATATGAAGTTAAATGATTTTGATGCCCGTTAGTGTTCCTGGTGGTTCCTTATGTGATATGAAGTTAAATGATTTTGATGCCCGTTAGTGTTCCTGGTGTTTCCTTATGTGATATGAAGTTAAATGATTTTGATGCCCGTTAGTGTTCCTGGTGGTTCCTTATGTGATATGAAGTTAAATGATTTTGATGCCCGTTAGTGTTCCTGGTGGTTCCTTATGTGATATGAAGTTAAATGATTTTGATGCCCGTTAGTGTTCCTGGTGTTTCCTTATGTGATATGAAGTTAAATGATTTTGATGCCCGTTAGTGTTCCTGGTGGTTCCTTATGTGATATGAAGTTAAATGATTTTGATGCCCGTTAGTGTTCCTGGTGTTTCCTTATGTGATATGAAGTTAAATGATTTCGATGCCCGTTACTGTGCCTGGTGTTTTCTTATGTGATATGAAGTTAAATAATTTTGATGTCCTTTAGTGTGCCTGGTGTTTCCTTATGTGATATGAAGTTAAATGATTTTGATGCCCGTTAGTGTGCCTGATGGTTCCTTATGTGATATGAAGTTAAATGATTTTGATGCCCGTTAGTGTGCCTGATGGTTCCTTATGTGATATGAAGTTAAATGATTTTGATGCCCGTTAGTGTGCCTGATGGTTCCTTATGTGATATGAAGTTAAATGATTTTGATGTCCGTTAGTGTTCCTGGTGGTTCCTTATGTGATATGAAGTTAAATGATTTTGATGCCCGATAGTGTGCCTGGTTGTTCATTTTTTGTTAACGGTGCTCTCATTTGCGAACGTGTACGTAAACCGTTACCAGGAACTCCACTTTACAAAGCGAGTATTTACTGTTTTTTAACCGGATGGTATGTAGAATTACAGTGTCTATGTCGGCTATGTCAACATTCTTGAGTGGACTCATTAGCCATAATTATCATCTTCCTATCGCAAAAACCTCAAACTATCAAAAACGGCAAACCAGATATGTATTTTACAGTTGTATTTTACCAAAAGTTTTACTCAGAGTTGCTGATCCTTTATCGATAATCACAGTGATATATCAGTGATGCATTATCGCTGGATTTTACAATTTTTTGCACAATATTTCGATGTCAGGTAATAAATAATCTTATCTTAACATATAACACTTAGAAAATGTAGTTTAATTTTATTGTATGGTGCAAATACCATAAAATGATTTTGCAAAAGTCAGATTAACCGACACCGCTTAAAATGATGATATAAATCTGAAGGATTCATCTCGAACATACTGATCTTTCCCATTCTCTAGAATCGATAGTGATTGATTTATAAGAGTAAGACGACACGGCCGACAGACCAGTACAATCACAATCACCAATACCTCCGTGTGATATGGACTGAGTTATCCCAACTTGGGGATTATATTTTGTTAAGTTTAGCATCAGCCGTTGAATCTTTATGTCAAAACAACTTATTTTGAAGCCTTACATTTTCTTACATCAAATTTCGAGTAAACGTTCCAAATCACGTGACAGCATCGAAATCAGGAATAATGAAAAAGTATTCTCTTCGTTCGTCCTCAAAATATACTGTTCTATCATTGTTAAAAAGATGTATCCCTCATTACGAAAACATGTAATGAGTATCTACTGTAGGAAACATGAGAATTTAATCTTTTATTTTCTTAATTCATTGTAACCGACATATTTCCGGATATCACTACGCCATGTATTAAAGAAACTATGCTTCAACACTAAAGCTAATACTTTCCATTTATTTTGACAAAGCAAGTTAATTACAAGCTTAGGTACACATGTACTTGTCTGTGAGTGTATATCTTAAACTTCTTTTTCAAAATCATCTCTTTAATTCCCGTGGAAGGATATGTCTGATGCCTGCTTCATGAGGTGAAACAACTGTCGAACTCGGGACAGTCGGGTAAGGTGTTTTCCATGTATTCTTGCAGGGAGCTTTGTATAGTAACACATTCACCAAGAATGTTTAGTTTATGATTTAATTCGCTTGTCCCACCAGTTCGCCAGTTGTATAACCATCGGAGTGCGCATGTGCACTCGATCACGTTGTCTCGGAAATCAAGGGTGAGATCATGATTAGAGAGTTTTAAGACCTTAACGCCACACGGGATTTTAGTGAGAGAAGTATTCCGCAGTTCCACCAAGTCGATATTTGCAGACTTCGTAAAGGCGTTGTCGGAAAGGTATACTATAGGGTTGTCATTCATTTTCAGCTCTTTTAGATTAACGAGTTCCTGCAAGTCTTTACGTTCGATAGTATGGATACCGTTGTTTGATAGGTCAATGGATTCTAGTGAATTGATGTACTGAAGTGTACCCGGGATTCGCGTAATTCCTGAATTACGAAGACTTAGATGTGTGATCTTTTGTATCGCTTTTGCAGATACTTCACTCACGAATTTAAGGTTATTCCCGTCCATGGAAATTTCTTTAAGATTCCGGAACTTTCCAAGGATATCTGGGAACGTTGTTATATTGTCGTCGTCAAGTGAAATCTTGGAAAGGTGTGTGAGAAATTTATCAGTTATTGGAACATTCATCCCGAAATCTCCAATTAGATGGTTCTGATTCAGTGACAGCTCTGTCAGGTACTTCAGTCGACCAAAAGCTAGAGGTACGGAGTAAAGTAGTGTGTCCTTAATGCTCAGCTTCTTTAGAGAGTTCTCGTAACCATAAAATGAATCAATTGACATCAGAGAAAAATCGCCGCCAGTACAATTCAGCTCTTCAAGTCTTGGGAAATGTTTCAGCGATGTTGGCCAGCTGGCAATGTCATCTCTCGAACCAAATGAAAATCGTAACAGTGAATCGCCTATCTGCGACATGGTTTCAATCTGTTCAGGATCGTCAAAGCCTGGAATACCGTTCCCTGAAACATCCAGTCCTTTTAAATATGTGAGATGTCGTACAGCAATTGGGATTGTCGCAAGATGGTTGTTGTTTAGGTCAAGGTCATTAACAGTTAAACCGCCAAACGCATTCTCTTCAAAATCACTGTTTCTAAGTCTAGAATGTGAAATGGTTAACCTATTCACTGTCAGATCTTGGAAGGTGTTGTTATGGATGACTAGCCCACGACTGTTTGTTATGGTGAGAACATTCAGTTCTAGTGGTGATGGTAGCTGGGGCCAGATTGTCAGATTTTGGCAAAGAAGGTCGCCTTTTACACAGGAACATTTGGCGGATGGATACATAGAGTCGTCATTTGGAGGGCAGATATCCACAGCGCCCTCTACAGATGTAGAAAAGCACGTAACCACCAATAACTGAAATGTATATTTTAAAAATTACATAACATATATATTGTATCATGTAATACAGGATGTTTGTAGATTCAAATGAAAAGAGGTCACAGATATTTGATTAAAATATTAGGAAGTAAATATATGCATTGACTCTTTTTCATATATGTGATTTTATTCATTCTAACACAAAATATAATATTGAGGGGACAATGACCATCAATGTGAAAAAATCGTGTCAGTGAATAATAGCTCTTCTGCGTTATAATCTGTGGTCATGTGGCAGATGATCATGTGTGTCTTGCCGTTCAATATGGCGGCGATTAAGTTTGATGAAAAGCGACCTATTTTTGTAAAAGCAAATATGTGAAGGCTTATTCTTACTCTCCGAATCGTGATTTTGATTTGATATATATTGTGGAATCTTCGGTAGCTTAGCTTAAAGCGGAAACGCTGCAACAATCTCTTAAGGTTTATGTGTTTGTTTCTGAATTGCGACATGTGATGACCATAAAAATAACTTATGTGGTTATATGACGATAAATACGTCAACACCACCACTATTTCTCTAAATGTTGATAATTGTCTATCAGTGAAATGTTGGACAAAGAAAATAGAAAAATACATTAAATTAGTATAGAATATACATATTTGTGATTGAATAACTATCTATCTGTGACTGCTACAAATCCGTATTTCTATATTTTTTTCTTTCCTTTACTTAAGACACTTCTTTTCACTTCTTTTCACTCTTACTTTCATTGCTCAATAATAATTAACCTTTTTGTAAACAGCTTTCTAACATTTTCTAACTGATATCCGGTTAAGGAAGAACAAGTGCATTTGAAAAGAAGAAGACTCTTATGGCACTAAAGCTCTGCAAAACAAAACCAAGGTGTATTGGTTGTGGGATTTATGCCAGACACCCAACATTGAAAATAAAACTGGCGGCGTTATGGGGATCGATGTACAAAGAATATTAAAAAAAACTGCAACTGTTTTGCTTTGTTGTGTGTGTCCCCGTTTGTGTTTTACGCGTGGTTTGTTGCTGTTAATATGTAGTTGTATAATTGTAGAGCGTAGAACAAATCACCAGGATAAAAAAAAAACAAATCGAACGGTTTGTGGTAAGAAATGTTTTCACCAGGCGTATGTTTTACATCAGAATTCCTATATTTGCTGCAGTAAGTGATCGCACCATTATTGTGACGTTAACGTACTGAGTGTTTGTGTATGTATTGGACGTCATGATATTGGTTATCCTATACTCTTTTATTATATTAGATACAAGGAAAACTCTAATCACAATCATATAAACATTAAAAAAACGTCAAAATTAGTATATTCGGACAATCTGGGATGACTTTTACAATATACGGGTGTCAAATCACTTATATTTCATTTTGGTTTCAAGATTATACTCCCAGTAACAGCAGGAAATATGTTTCTATTAACGATTTCCAAAGGTTACACACGGAAAGAGAGTCAATTCATTGAATGTGGCGTATCCAAGCTTTTATAGAGCGATACTCCTATAAATACAAAACGTTAAAATATCATATCGTGTTAGTAACGGGATTTAACTTATGGCCTAGGTGTTAGTAGGGAACGTCGAACTCGTGTACGTTTACCAACAAATCAAGTTGGTGTTTAGAGTACCAAGAAAATACGTTTACAAAAGAAAACAAAGACCCAAAAAACAAAACAAAAAACCCAATAAATAAATAAAATAAACAAGAAAAAAAAAGAACAGAGAGAGAAAGAAAGATGTAGACAAAAGCAACGAGAAATTCGACCAAAACAAACAAAGAACACACGATACTTATGGTTGGACAATATCTTATTGCATATAATAATAATAGTCAGAGAGAAAATAGGTAAAACAGATGTTGCTTTATCAAAAATTGTACAATCAGAGAGGAAATGATCCTCCTCTTCAATTTGATCAGCCACAAATATTACACAGACTGTATTCCACTGGAGTGTTCGTGTAACGACCTGTCTCATAATTAGAACATAATTTTGAAATCAATATTGCACAAAATAGATGTTTTGGTTTCCAAAGCGAGTAACACTAGAGAGAGAGAGAGAGAGACAGACAGACAGACAGACAGACAGACAGAGAGAGACAGAGAGACACATTACCATGACACGTATGTGTGGCAGGATCGACTTTTAATATAATGTGAATTGTATTGTCTCTAATTGTTAATTCTTGTTGATTAGTTCACGTCTATACTGTATCTTGTTCATTAGTCACGTGCATACATATGTGGTTGGTCTCGATTTTGTATATTGTCGCACGGTCATTGGTCAGTTAAATTTTGTCTTACGTCACAGTTTTATCATCTTGTTTTATTGGTTCGTTTGATTTCGCGTTTTTGTTTTTGTTGTTGTTTTTTTTTTTTTTTTGTTTTTTTGTTTTTGTTGTTGTTTTTTTTTTTATGTTTTTTTTTAAGTTCCGGTCATTGTTTGACTGACCGACGGATAGAGCGGACGGTTTGGTAAAAGTAATCCTGAAAATACCTGCGAACCATTAACACTTATTTTTTATGACCGTCAGTATCAAAAATGTAGACGAACTTTGTGCTACACATAAAATCTATACTCTTTTGGTTCGACAGTAAACTTTGGTCAGAACTCTCAACAGGTTTCGTGTCTTTGTTTGAACATAGTATAGACAACATATAACACAATATTAGAAAAGACGGTTTATATTTCAAATCGTTTTTCTACTTACGTATAGAAGTACCTTCATGGCAAAATGGTGAAACAGTTACTGAAAAAGAAGATATTTTTTTAAATAAAATGTTTCATAAAATATATAGAAGTTGTTAAAACTTCCTATGTTGTACTAACTCTATGATAGCAATTTCGTAAAGAGAAGAAAGATGCATTTTTGCACATTCTGTTTGTCTCCGATTATAAATGCAAACCCCTGTACTAAATACATATACACCATGTCAGTTCTCCCAATCGCTCATCATTTCTATCTAACTATCTCTTCCTTTGTTGTTTTTTTTTCATTTCATTAATCTCTTAATCATCTTAAATCCCCTGAACCTAACCCTCCTTCACCCCCTAAAACATCTGAAGTTTCATACATACGTGTATACTGTCTCGCTTTCCAACTAGCTAGCTGGACTGTCAGGTAGACTAAAGGGAAAGCAGATAAAGAGTACGACATGTCGTGTCATAAAGGTCACAACGAAGTTCAATCTCCAACAAATACCGGAAGTTTTACGATATTGGTTAAAAGCTATCTCAGAAAGTTGTTCAGTGTTTGGTATTGGACGTGGCAAAGTTAAACTGCTATGAATGTAACGGCAAAGAGAGAAACATAAGAAGTGAATAGATATATGGATAATAGACAGATTGAAACACAGACAGATAGACAGCACAATACGCAATGTAAACATGAGAGTTAGGAAAGCAAATGATGTTAATTACGACTCTTTATCATGATCTGAAAATCCCAAAATGACTTTATGCATTAACCAATTGAAATTTTACATAGAAATATAAGATTTAATTTAAAAGGACGAAACGTGAGCGAGTTATGTCCCTTTAAATGATTAGTTAAGATATAGCAACAGCACAGTTTATACCTACAATGCATGAAGATATTAAGATGATTTTGAATACTTTTATCAACCATCAATGATATGTAATAACTATAAGTTTATCAAATGATTCACCTGTAATCTAGTGAATTCGACTTCATATTTTTTGCATCTTTCAATAATGTAAAATACCTTGAAGCGGTTTTCATTGGCTGTGCCAGTCAGAAATCGATTTTGACGTCATCACGGCGCTATAAAATGTCTGCCACCGCTTGATTTTGTCCGATACATTTTTACTTTAAAACTTTTCGAAACCTCATGATATCTAATGAGGAACACCATAAAGATGTTATCGTTTCAGATGATTTTTTTTTTCGAAACTCGTCTCTAAGTTTTATTTTTACATCAGTTCACACTAGGTTGTATACATACGTCACTACACTTCACTTTTGACCTTAAGTTGAGCATTCGGACTGCAATGTACTTTTTATTTCTGCCCTTTGGCATTTTTGTAACTTAAAATTTAATAAGCACCATTCCTTGTTAACGTTAAGTATTATAGCAGTGACTGGTTTCTCCGTTGTCAGTATAATGTGTCCCCGGAAATTCTGAGAATCGGCTACCATCTTTGAAGTCAAGATCATAACTCTGTGATACGTACATGTGTTTTCTTCAATAGCGAGACTTGAAGATTGTTTATCAATCTGATAAAACAAAGGAATACCAAACTTGTTTTAATGAATGATACTGACCCAATTTCAAGTTCACACGCGTCAACTACATTTGTATGTCGAAATCTTAAAACGACTTCTTTTGAATAACCGAGATGCCAAGTACCTCATATTTGGCAATTAAAGCAGGCTTGAAGAGTTACCAAGTGTGATCAATGAATGACATTGGTCTATATTTAAGGTGACAAGGACCAAATGACCTAAAATCTTCTTAAATCCAAAAACGCCAGGAAATCTGATATGGGTCTTCTTTGAAAAAATCACATTGCTTGAAACTTGACCTACTTTGACCTTGACCCATACTGTAGGTTACAATTGCAATATGAATTTGCAAACAGCATTAGGTGACAAGTCAGCATACAGGACCATTTGGTCTATTTTTCAAACATAATTTACTTACAAATTTTTAGCTGTAGAGTTAGAGATTAATTCTTCTGTGTATAAAACTGATATTCATCGTGTGATATTTTGCCACAACATTATACCCAATCGACCTTCCCGTTCCAAGGTATAGATTTATTTAATCCGTGTACATGACCTTTCCTCCTCTTACCGGTGATTTTTACTTCTGCAGACATGATATTTTAATCATTACAAGTAGAGGGAAGGGAGGCAACTCTTACTTTACTCCACTTTAATGTATTGATCCTGGCCAATCTGAAATAAACTTTTTAATTTTTTTTTTTTGATGGCTTCTGTACCATATTTAGAGCTGTATTATATGACGAAATAATAATAAATGAACTTGTAATAGACAAAGCGACAAGTTTAAATTAACACAAATGAAAGCCGAAAAACAATAACAATATATAGATTAATCCTTTGTCCATTCTCATTTTTTTACCTTGGAAAGTGTTCCAACCTACACTCATAGAGCAAACTTGTCAAAATGCAGTGTCTATCTTGTTGGGGAAAACTTGAAAACAAACACGTTATCTATTGCAGAAGCAAAACTTTAATTAAAAGTTATCAAAACTATTTACAAATTAGTATAATTACAAATGCGTATTTCTTCGTGAGTGTAAAAATTGTTCTGAATGATAAGATTGAACTTGTGGAAAGTTAGATGCTGTGAGAGAAAGAAATAAGATTTCTATATCTCAGTGAATATATAGTTTTGTACATTTTTGTTGAAAAGTAGAAGTTTATTTTCAAGTTCAAAAAGAGGTGCTTGACCTACACGTAACATAAATCGAAGCCATGAACAACAACACTTAAATTCAAATTCACTAATTTCCCGCGCTACAAAAAAAAAAAAAAAAAAGAAGAAGAAAAATAATTCTTAGCCATACATCACTTGAGATTAAAATTGTTCAGTAATTTCAGGACTGGTTCATGTCTAGTTCCACAGTATTTTGTTATGACTTTCTGAATCCAGGTTTTGTGCGATTTGTTTCCATGGTGAAATGTCAAGATAAAAAAATCATTGTGAGCTCTTCAGACGAAATCTTTACAGTTTGGATACCCAGTTGTATGATAATTAGGACATGCTGGTATGGTGGTCTCGAGATATTCGGTCAGTTCAACACTGACTGTCTCGCAATCGCCGTGGACATGGAATGAATGATCTTTGTAGTACTTTTGGAAGCAAGCTAATTCACAGATACATTCCACATCTGTGTTCTTTAGGTTGATATCGAGTCCTCGTCTCCCCACATTGGTCACCGCCATTGGAATCACTTTGAGGCTGGTATTACTAAAATCAATAAAGGCCAAACTAGGGAGGTTTCGGAACGCCAATGTCGACACATAAGCAAGAGGGTTTTCGCTGAAGGACACATTTTGCAGATTTCGTAAATCGTGCAGGTCATTCCGATCAATGCTTTGAATCTTGTTGTTCGACAAATCGAGTACTCTGATATTCTGAAGGTAGGTTCCACTATCGTCTGCCATAGCTCCCGGAACTCTGTCGAGATGGCAGCCACGGAGAGATAGGGTTTCAATGTTGCTTTCATTTACCATGTTCAGAGCGTTTTCGCGTATATATAACAGTTTGTTGTCATCTAGAATAAGCGTTTGAAGTCTGTCTTTAAGATTGTTGACGATAGCGGGGAATGATGTCAAACTGTCATTTTTCAGTGACAGTAGGGTCAAACTATTCAAGCCACTGAAAGCTTCGGATAGCAATCCGTAATCGGACACAGGGTTCCCCTCGAAGTAAAGTTCTTCTAAGTTACGAAGGCGTCTTAGCGTCAGGGGGACGGAACTGAGATGTGTGTTCCGAATGTATAGGTGTTTGAGGACCAACTCAAACGCTGAAAATGCATTTGGCCCCAAATTGCTGAAACCATAATCGGCACCATTGATTTCAAAAGTCTCGAGCTTGGGAAGATGGCTGCTTATAGTGTCGGGAAACGACTTGAATGTCGTTGGATGTCCGACATGAAGGGATGTGAGATTGGTTCCGAGTTGTCGGAAGATACTTACTGGAAATCCAGTGCTGGAAGACGGGATAGGGTTCGATACCACATTTAGATTGTGTAGAGCAGGAAGTAGACTCAGCGTTGGTACAACAGTAAGCCCGTTCCCACTTAGGTCAAGGGATTCCATCTCTGGCCTTCGTTTGTCGATACTTATTACGGTGATCCTATTATTGGAAAGGTCTAGGATTTTTATAGAGTCCGGAACACGGGCGAACGTTGGGTTTGTGATGCCGTTTTTAGCGAGTCGCATTTCTGTGTAGTGTAGGACCTCATGCGGTGCACAAATCGGTACATCAACTAGGGACTTGGATTCACAAGTAACCACATTGTCCTCGCAATCGCAAATATCCGAGCAACAAGGAGTGCCTAGAGCTGATCCTAAACACAGAATCAGCAACAGGCACAGCGTCAACATCGCAACCTGGAAACAAAGAAGGGAGATAACTAAGATTAAGACACATTTTTTTGGTCTTTGAAAGGCAGTTTTGAATAAAGACAATATATCTTCTATTGAAGCTGTATCAATTTGATAACGGAAATAATTTATGGGGAAAAATCGTCACTCAAATCAAATGAGCCCAATATGTACAAATATATTGATACAAAATTTGTTCGAGCTAGCGGCATATTTTGAAAATTAAAATTTATCATCTTGATGAGAAATAGACTTCAATAAAAATCATAGGTAACGTAACATCTTCTACATATGCTTAAAAGTTAGGAACTATATACATGAGTACGTTTCTATTTGTTTATTGGTCCATCGCATGTTATACGGTTAAAGAGCCAGACCCACTCCGCTATAGATATTTTTCATATTTTATTGACTGGAAATGTTGTTGTATACTAACAGATAATATATAAATAAAGACCTGTATAAAGTTTCGAACTTGAAATTGAAAGGGTATTGGAGATATCGGTGCCGGAATCAGTCTCATTAATCAACACCTGGATATGAATATTGATGAGGAAAAGGCACGTGATACGTTCAGACGCGGTCAGAACCAAAACCAAAATGGAGGAAGAGGCGAGTAGTACGTCAATGTGAAATCGCTTGTAAAGATATTTTACCGATAAATGCGATCAATACTATATATATCCTGTATGGAAATCATCTAACGTATGTATTGATCACATCTTTCAATGCTTAGATATGACACAAAAACGTGCAGATTACGAGAAAAACTACGAGTAATTGCAAAGAGGCCCTCAAATGGGGGCTGCGATACGGCAACGAACATGTAGAACATCACGAAATGGATCTATCTAAAGCGAATATTCGATGATAAGAGTATTTATAAATATGATTTTAGAGTAATACTACACGAGAGAACCAAACAGAGAGCGATACAGAGTATGAACCAGTCATCTTCCTTCTTTTCGCCCAAGAGTCCGTCAAAACACGTTTTCTTCCCCGCTTCCCTCGCATGCTTTCTGCCATGTTGGAAGACGGCAGATTTATTTTACAGTTCTTTGCGCATGCGTCAGAGGGCAAGACTTCCCGCATAATTGTGAATTAGCACTGAGTCGTTTCGAATTGTTTTTTAAAACTATTTATTACGTTAGATTGATAGCGATTTACTTTAAAATTGCGGTATTACAGGGTTAGTCAGAACTTTTGCTACCCGAGAAAAATAGAAAATGATGATTTTTTTTGTGATGCTGCTGCTGAACGACTACAAAATTTAAGAATGTATACCGTAGATGTGGAATAATGGTTTGAACTGCGTCAAACAATTCACCTGTTTTGTCTGTGGCTAGTTTGCGATGCAGTATGTCCAGAGCGTCTCTAGAAAACGATTTAGCTAAATCAAAACGTTTGTCCGATCACCATTTTATTTATTTGATATGATAAAAATATGCTTTAAAAATCAAAACAGAGCGGAAAATGAAACAGTAGATAGAATTTACATTCAGAAACTTACAAAAGCTAAAACAGTTTTAGAGTTTTTTTTGTTTTTTTTTTATTACTTATTAACAATTTTCCAGATGTTTTGTTTAAGGATCGTCACAAGTTATTTTTTTTCATATATGCTTAGAGGACCTATGCACTGGGCGGATATATAATGCTATAATGTATTAGACACGGAGATTGTTCTTACACAATGCAAACAATTGTTCCATCAATATTCATATTTTGATTGTTTGTACATACTAGAAAACACTTCAAGCATTTCTAATGCAAATTCATGTCAATGAAAATATTTTGACATCTCACTACAGAGAATTTTTTATATACATTTATCGCAGAACATTATAAAGATTACTAAATGTAGATAAGATGCGGTAGGAAAAGACAATAAAGCAGTGAAGTTGACTATACATTTATAGAAATAACTAAATCGTTTACACGTTTTTCATGTACACAGAATTTGTTGCTATCTTTTTATTTTTGAAACTCCAAATCAATTTAATTATTTAAATTATTCGCTTGAATTTTAATCATAATTTACTATTGGTTTAAAAAGCAGATTTAAAAATGAAGCAAATAACATTACAATGTAGATATAAAAGGTCTAGAAGAAGTATGTGGGACTCTGAAAACTTACGGTTTTTGGTGCCTTGTCGTGTAGAATATCCCCGGACACTTGTTATCAGGACAAGAGCTCGCCTGACGAATGTGGCGGGTACCCGCTGTTTGCGTTATATATAAGCAAGATACCCCGATACGACACGACTAAAAAACTCATAAATTTGATTTGTTTTATTTCTGCGGACTTACCTTTTATATTTGATACAGAATTACACGCTACTGAAATAGAGTTAATGTTATGGAATACAATCACAAAATAAATAAAAGGATAAAATCACACATACAACAAAGCTATAATCCGTCTCATGGCCCCCGTGAATGATACATGATATTTCTTTTGCTTTTGTTTCAATAAAAACATGAACAATTTACGATATCTTAATTACAAACACTTGTCAAAGACAATATAATTTACAAATGCAATTTATATTCCTCTAAAAAATAATTGACTATTTTTGTAAAAAAATATTTTTGAAAATTATTGAGAAAGAAAATTAAAAAAAAAAAAAAATAGAATTAGTAAAGTGTTATCAAAATGCCATGAGTTCGTTTTCTTTTTCTACATATATTCCAAAAACTGCAAATGGTAACGCGAAAATGTAAAACCGCTTGAAAAATACTGTTTTGGTATATATAATTGGTATGGTGAATAGCACTTGTATTGTCCTGATGTTAAAGATGTGTACATTTCTGCACCACAAACAAACTCAAGATCATCATATGCATATTCATTATGTTTATTTATAGTTAATTGGAATAGTTATCAACATTTTGTTGTTTTATGGAGAAACCTGTTCTTTAGATCAATTTGTATGTGTGTGAAAGGTGTTATGTAAAACCGTTTTTCAGACAAACGTTACTGATTTTGTACAGCAATGTCACAAAGTACACGCTGGTAATCAAAAACCTGCAGGTGTCCTTGACAAAATGTATTTCGCAACAACTTGTTTGCACTAACCAATCACGTGCGCTGCTGATCAAGATGTTTATGTTCCCAAGCTCAAAATTAATAACATGAAAATGACCTCAAAATGTCGGCAGAACAGCTTATCAGTGGGTTTTTTTTCTTCAAAAAGGCCCATGAGTGGTAGGAAAGATATGGAGCTATCACCTCCATGCCGACCATCTGTAAAACATACACTGTACCTTGTCGCGAGAATTTAATAATGTAACAAAATTTAACTTCGGAGACGTTTTACTTTACAAATTTTCAGGGATGGAATACAATCACAAAATAAATAAATGGATAAAATCACACATACAACAAAGGTATAATCCGTCTCATGGCGCCCGTGAATGATACATGATATTTCTTTTGCTTTTGTTTCAATAAAAACATGAACAATCTAAAGAATAATTTACGATAACTTAATTACAAACACTTGTCAAAGACAATATAATTTACAAATGCAATTTACATTCCTCTAAAAAATAATTGACTATTTTTGTAATTTGGTAGGGATATCTCAATATTTTCTCCTTTTCCTAAATTAAGGCTTTGGGTGAGTCCGCCCAGGTTAGAAAGACTTTGAGCTGTATCCGTGAGTCGTAAAAAAATAGTAATAATGATACTTTTTAGTTCTTCCTTTTAGTCAGAGTTGTATAAGTGACAGATCAGGGTGTCATACTTCCGTGTCAGGATTATGATATTTCAGTGTGACAGAACTATAAAAATGTGAACTACGTCTTCGTAAGACCTTGGTTGTTGCGAGGACGTAAAATTAAAAAACAAAACCCCACAAAATATCGTTAATGTTTCTAAATCATCCTCCAATAATAGATTTTAGTGCAATTAATGGAATATCGCATTTCATCAATAACAACACATAATACAAAAACAAATAAATGAATTTCTGCTTCTCCAATCGATGTTGCTTACATTTTAGAGTTGATCCGATATTTATGGGTCTGTTTCCAGTGTCTTTATTTCTGTGAACGTTATCGGCAACTGTCAGGCAAGCTCACAATACAGGTTATGGAGAGATCAGGGTTGCTGATTTTTTTTGAGATCGTCATAACGATCTCATTAACGAAATGGTAGTTGGATGTATTTGATACTCATTAATATGCCTGGTGGATCCGTTGTTTCTTAGGGAACGTGACATTACTTACTTCGATCGACCAAGATTTTGAATCAGAAGACGCGTATCCTCTCGGGACACCTGGGCCCGTATTCATGAAACCTTTCTCATGCTCAAGCATCGAATTTGTACTCAAGATAACTTTTTCATAATTCACCTAAATCATATCCAATAACACAAATATAAAATATAAACACTGAATATAGCACGTGGCTTGAAGTTGTTTCAAAATATTTTCAAATCTTTGACAAAATCAGCCTTTTTTATTGATTTTTAACTAAAACAAGATATAAGACTTGAGCACAAAACTCATGCTTGAGTATGAGAACGGTTTCGTTAATACGGTTCCTGAGGGTCATCGAGTGAGGATTTCTTTAGTTCACACTTTTCTCTCGATCCACCGAATTTGAATTTGAATTAAAATGATGTTGACATGTAAATTTTTTTATTTTTGTTTTTTTTTATCGCAAGAGGAAAGAGAATATTTCCAAGGAAGATTATGACTATGATTGTTATGTTCAATCTTGACATACCCACGATTAAAAGTGAATATCTTAATGTGTATAAGGGTTTCAGGAAAGTCACTTAAATTACAAGATCAAGAAATGACGAAACGAAGCATTTACTTATTCACTAAACTGAATCAGATTTATACATTTTCAAGTAACTTACGAGATGGTAAGATATTATGCATGTATTCTAAAAATTGAAGTCAGCTTCTTAACTGAAATGTTTTATTCTATGCTGGCTACGATGGTGCTAATTATGACGATGACAGATGAAATGATGAAATAAAAGACCCAGAGCATGGTTTGAATATATCATTAAAAGATAAATGGATTTAGAACATAATGACATCACGTGATCAGAATGATGGTAGAACATGTAAACATCACTGTAATGTTTCAAGAAAATATATAACGATGGTTCAGGGATGATACTGACGATAATATATAAAATGGGATGATTTTGAAAGGACAGATGGTAAGAATGTCGATGATTTTAAAAAGGATAGATGTAAGAATGTCGATGATTTTAAAAAGGATAGATGTAAGAATGTCGATGATTTTAAAAAGGATAGATGTAAGAATGTCGATGATTTTAAAAAGGATGGATGTAAGAATGTCGATGATTTTAAAAAGGATGGATGTAAGAATGTCGATGATTTTAAAAAGAATAGATGTAAGAATGTCGATGATTTTAAAAAGGATAGATGTAAGAATGTCGATGATTTTAAAAAGGATGGATGTAAGAATGTCGATGATTTTAAAAAGGATAGATGTAAGAATGTCGATGATTTTAAAAAGGATAGATGTAAGAATGTCGATGATTTTAAAAAGGAAGATGTAAAAATGTCGATGATTTTAAAAAGGATGGATGTAACAATGTCGATGATTTTAAAAAGGATAGATGTAAGAATGTCGATGATTTTCAAAAGGATAGATGTAAGAATGTCGATGATTTTAAAAAAGATAGATGTAAGAATGTCGATAATTTTAAAAAGTATAGATGTAAGAATATCGTTGATTTTCAAAAGGATAGATGTAAGAATGTCGATGATTTTAAGAAAATAAAGATAGATGTAAGAATGCCGATGATTTTAAAAAGGATAGATGTAAGAATGTCGATGATTTTAAAAAGGATAGATGTAAGAATGTCGATGATTTTAAAAAGGATGGATGTAAGAACGTCGGTGATTTTAAGAAGGATAGATGTAAGAATGTCGATGATTTTAAAAAGGATGGATGTAAGAATGTCGATGATTTTAAAAAGGATAGATGAAAGAATATTTATGATTTTAAAAGAAAGTTGACAAAGAAAGAATGCAGGTATATGCAATATATTACAGAAAGTTTTTCTCTATCCGTTCACACGGACCAGGAACATAAACACCAGGTGGTCCCCACGCCTTCCCTACTGATAACTGAGAATCAAGAGAGATTATCAACAAGGAAGAAAATTTAAACCGCATTGTTTCATCTAAATAGGACACGTTGACGTAATTACACACTATCGTTTCACCTTGTCCGGCCTCCGATGACAAGGTTATCTGTCATCCGGCAGCATCTTAAAACCCATTCAAAACAACAGAGCACCACTCCTGATTATGATATGACAAACTTCGCGGAAATCATTGATACTTTTATCGGTCACATTGATCTAGGTCAGTGCATTCTTTAACATTGAATCTCGTTGAAAACAATGTCGAATAGTTTTTATCTTTATCGTTATTTTCCATACAGAATAGATAAACCGACAAGAAGGTAAACAAGGTTTGGGGGTTTATTTAATTAGCATGGTGATCTCAATCATCTTGCCAATATAATCATTTAAGAAGTATCGCTGGAGAAAAGGAAATACCTGGCAATAAGAAATATCAGCTATTCTTTCGAATAAGAAACGACAACTCTGCTAGAAGGAAATAACATTAATGCTTAAAATTTACTTTCAAATAAGAAAAGATCAGTTATACTTTCCAGAAGGCAGGGATTGGCAATGCGTGCCAGTAGGTAAACATCTGCATTGCTTCCAGTACGCATAGTTAAGCTATGATTTCCAAAGTGAAACGATCGAAAATGCTTCTTGTAGGGAATATCAGCAATGCTTTCCAGTAGACAACAGTCAACATTACTAAAGACTTAAGACTTTTAGACTAAGCATTATTTCCAATACTAAAAAGTTAAAAAAAAAAAAAAAACCAATATTTCCCAATAAGGAAGATAAACAATATTTTCAAAAAAGCAAAAAGAAGTTATGCTATTAGTAGGCAAAAGATTTCATCTCTTGTAGTAGTGTAGTCACAGATTAACAGTACAAGCAAATAAGGAAAAATTAGCAATGTTTTTTTCAAAATGGAATGAGCATCAATGCTTAAAGAAGATCACAAATGTTCCAATAGAAATGTATAAGCAATGCTTTTCTAAAGGGAATCATCTTCAAGAAGGAAAACAGATTTTTGCTTTAAAGTAGGAAGAGGTAAGCATTTTTTCAGTATGGAAGTATCAGCAATGCTTTCCAGCAGTTGAAGATCAAGAATGTTTTCAGAGGTTTAATATATGCAACGATTCGTTTTCTGTAGGGAATAAATGCTTTCCAGAATGTTTCTAGAAGAACAAGATAGGCAATGTTTTTAAGTAGGGAAGTATCAACAATGCTTTTTAGTGGTTTAAAATATGCAACGATTGGCCATCAGCCATGCGATTCCAGAGAGGAACGGTCGCGATTCTTTCCAAGAAGAAAATATTAACAATGCTTTCCAGTGGGCAAGATTGTTAGTAAGCAAATGGCATCGATGATTTCCACTAGAAGAAAAGCAATACGTTTCAGAAGGCAAAGATCAGAACCACTTTCGAGTCGGCAAGACCAGATATGTACTTAAGTAGGAATGATCAGCAATGTCTTGCAGTGTGTAGAAAGAAGGAGAGGCAATGCATTCAAGTAGGCAAAGATCAGCAGAGTCTTGCAATGGGCAAAGATCAGCAGAGCCTTGCAGTAGGCAAAGATCAGCAGAGCCTTGCAGTGGGCAAAGCTCAGGAGAGCCTTGCAGTGGGCAAAGATCAACAAGACCTTTCAGTGGGCAAAGATCAGAAGAGCCCTGCAGTGGGCAAATATCAGGAGAGCCTTGCAGTGGGCAAAGATCAACAGGACCTTGCAGTGGGCAAAGATCAGGAGAGCCTTGCAGTGGGCAAAGATCAGGAGAGCCCTGCAGTTGCAAATATCAGGAGAGCCTTGCAGTGGGCAAAGATCAGCAAGACCTTGCAGTTGGCAAAGATCAGGAGATCCTTGCAGTGGGCAAAGATCAGGAGAGCCTTGCAGTGGGCAAAGATCAGGAGAGCCTTCAGCAGAGCCCTGCAGTGGGCAAAGATCAGCAGAGCCTTACAGTGGGCAAAGATCAGAAGAGCCTTGCAGTGGGCAAAGATCAGAAGAGCCTTGCAGTGGGCAAAGCTCAGGAGAGCCTTGCAGTGGGTAAATATCAGGAGAGCCTTGCAATGGGCAAAGATCAGGAGATCCTTGCAGTGGGCAAATATCAGGAGAGCCTTGCAATGGGCAAAGATCAGGAGAACCTTCAGCAGAGCCCTGCAGTGGGCAAAGATCAGCAGAGCATTGCAGTGGGCAAAGATCAGGAGAGCCTTACAGTGGGCAAAGATCAGCAGAGCCTTGCAGTGGGCAAAGATCAACAAGACCTTGCAGTGGGCAAAGATCAACAAGACCTTGCAGTGGGCAAAGATCAGGAGAGCCTTGCAGTGGGCAAAGATCAGGAGAGCCCTGCAGTGGGCAAATATCAGGAGAGCCTTGCAGTGGGCAAAGATCAGCAAGACCTTGCAGTTGGCAAAGATCAGAAGAGCCTTGCAGTGGGCAAAGCTCAGGAGAGCCTTGCAGTGGGTAAATATCAGGAGAGCCTTGCAATGGGCAAAGATCAGGAGATCCTTGCAGTGGGCAAATATCAGGAGAGCCTTGCAATGGGCAAATATCAGGAGAACCTTCAGCAGAGCCCTGCAGTGGGCAAAGATCAGCAGAGCATTGCAGTGGGCAAAGATCAGGAGAGCCTTACAGTGGGCAAAGATCAGCAGAGCCTTGCAGTGGGCAAAGATCAGCAGAGCCTTACAGTGGGCAAAGATCAGAAGAGCCTTGCAGTGGGCAAAGATCAGAAGAGCCTTGCAGTGGGCAAAGCTCAGGAGAGCCTTGCAGTGGGTAAATATCAGGAGAGCCTTGCAATGGGCAAAGATCAGGAGAACCTTCAGCAGAGCCCTGCAGTGGGCAAAGATCAGCAGAGCATTGCAGTGGGCAAAGATCAGGAGAGCCTTCAGCAGAGCCCTGCAGTGGGCAAAGATCAGAAGAGCCTTGCAGTGGGCAAAGATCAGAAGAGCCTTGCAGTGGGCAAAGCTCAGGAGAGCCTTGCAGTGGGTAAATATCAGGAGAGCCTTGCAATGGGCAAAGATCAGGAGATCCTTGCAGTGGGCAAATATCAGGAGAGCCTTGCAATGGGCAAAGATCAGGAGAACCTTCAGCAGAGCCCTGCAGTGGGCAAAGATCAGCAGAGCATTGCAGTGGGCAAAGATCAGGAGAGCCTTACAGTGGGCAAAGATCAGCAGAGCCTTGCAGTGGGCAAAGATCAGCAGAGCCTTACAGTGGGCAAAGATCAGAAGAGCCTTGCAGTGGGCAAAGATCAGAAGAGCCTTGCAGTGGGCAAAGCTCAGGAGAGCCTGCAGTGGGCAAATATCAGGAGAGCCTTGCAATGGGCAAAGATCAGGAGATCCTTGCAGTGGGCAAATATCAGGAGAGCCTTGCAATGGGCAAAGATCAGGAGAACCTTCAGCAGAGCCCTGCAGTGGGCAAAGATCAGCAGAGCATTGCAGTGGGCAAAGATCAGGAGACCTGCAGTGGGCAAAGATCAGCAGAGCATTGCAGTGGGCAAAGATCAGGAGAGCCTTGCAGTGGGCAAAGATCAGGAGAGCCTTCAGCAGAGCCCTGCAGTGGGCAAAGATCAGCAGAGCCTTACAGTGGGCAAAGATCAGCAGAGCATTGCAGTGGGCAAAGATCAGGAGAGCCTTACAGTGGGCAAAGATCAGCAGAGCCTTGCAGTGGGCAAAGATCAACAAGACCTTGCAGTGGGCAAAGATCAGGAGAGCCCTGCAGTGGGCAAATATCAGGAGAGCCTTGCAGTGGGCAAAGATCAGCAAGACCTTGCAGTTGGCAAAGATCAGGAGATCCTTGCAGTGGGGAAAAAAACAGGAGAGCCTTGCAGTGGGCAAAGATCAGCAGAGCCCTGCAGCGGGCAAAGATCATCAGAGCCTTACAGTGGGCAAATATCAGGAGAGCCTTGCAATGGGCAAAGATCAGGAGAACCTTCAGCAGAGCCCTGCAGTGGGCAAAGATCAGCAGAGCATTGCAGTGGGCAAAGATCAGGAGAGCCTTGCAGTGGGCAAAGATCAGGAGAGCCTTGCAGTGGGCAAAGATCAACAAGACCTTGCAGTGGGCAAAGATCAGCAGATCCTTCCAGTGGGCAAAGATCAGGAGAGCCTTGCAGTGGGCAAAGATCAGGAGAGCCCTGCAGTGGGCAAATATCAGGAGAGCCTTGCAGTGGGCAAAGATCAGCAAGACCTTGCAGTTGGCAAAGATCAGGAGATCCTTGCAGTGGGCAAAGATCAGGAGAGCCTTGCAGTGGGCAAAGATCAGGAGAACAATACTGAGCGCCCTTCACAGTGAGGAAAGGCGCATAGCAGATCAGTGGGCAAAGATCAGGAGAGCCTTGCAGTGGGCAAAGATCAGGAGAGCCTTGCAGTGGGCAAATATCAGGAGAGCCTTGCAATGGGCAAAGATCAGGAGATCCTTGCAGTGGGCAAATATCAGGAGAGCCTTGCAATGGGCAAAGATCAGGAGATCCTTGCAGTGGGCAGAGAGCCTTGCAGTGGGCAAAGATCAGCAAGAGCCTTGCAGTGGGCAAAGATCAGGAGAGCCTTGCAGTGGGCAAAGATCAGCAAGCCTTGCAGTGGGCAAAGATCAGGAGACCTTGCAGTGGGCAAAGATCAGGAGAGCCCTGCAGTGGGCAAATATCAGGAGAGCCTTGCAGTCAGATCAAGACCTTGCAGTTGGGCAAAGATCAGGAGAGCCTTGCAGTGGGCAAAGATCAGGAGAACCTTGCAATGGGCAAAGATCAGGAGAGCCTTGCAGTGGGCAAATATCAGCAAGACCTTGCAGTGGGCAAAGATCAGGAGAGCCTTGCAGTTGGCAAAAGATCAGGAGAGCCTTGCAGTGGGCAAAGATCAGGAGAGCCTTGCAGTGGGCAAATATCAGCAAGACCTTGCAGTGGGCAAAAATCAGGAAAGCCTTGCAGTGGGCAAATATCAGGAGAGCCTTGCAATGGGCAAAGATTGGGAGATCCTTGCAGTGGGCAAATATCAGGAGAGCCTTGCAATGGGCAAAGATCAGGAGAACCTTCAGCAGAGCCCTGCAGTGGGCAAAGATCAGCAGAGCATTTCAGTGGGCAAAGATCAGGAGATCCTTGCAGTGGGCAAATATCAGGAGAGCCTTGCAATGGGCAAAGATCGGGAGATCCTTGCAGTGGGCAAATATCAGGAGAGCCTTGCAATGGGCAAAGATCGGGAGATCCTTGCAGTGGGCAAATATCAGGAGAGCCTTGCAATGGGCAAAGATCAGGAGAGCCTTGCAGTGGGCAAAGATCAGCAAGACCTTGCAGTGGGCAAAGATCAGGAGAGCCTTGCAGTTGGCAAAAGATCAGGAGAGCCTTGCAGTGGGCAAAGATCAGGAGAGCCCTGCAGTGGGCAAAGATCGGGAGATCCTTGCAGTGGGCAAAGATCAGGAGAGCCTTGCAGTGGGCAAAGATCAGGAGAGCCATGCAGTGGGCAAATATCAGGAGAGCCTTGCAATGGGCAAAGATCATGAGAGCCCTGCAGTGGGTAAATATCAGCAAGACCTTGCAGTGGGCAAAGATCAGGAGAGCCTTGCAGTTGGCAAAAGATCAGGAGAGCCTTGCAGTGGGCAAAGATCAGCAAGACCTTGCAGTGGGCAAAAATCAGGAGAGCCTTGCAGTGGGCAAAGATCAGGAGAGCCTTGCAGTGGGCAAAGATCAGGAGAGCCTTGCAGTGGACAAAGATCAGCAAGACCTTGCAGTGGGCAAAAATCAGGAGAGCCTTGCAGTGGGCAAAGATCAGGAGAGCCTTGCAGTGGGCAAATATCAGCAAGACCTTGCAGTGGGCAAAGATCAGGAGAGCCTTGCAGTTGGCAAAAGATCAGGAGAGCCTTGCAGTGGGCAAAGATCAGGAGAACCTTGCAATGGGCAAAGATCAGGAGAGCCTTGCAGTGGGCAAATATCAGCAAGACCTTGCAGTGGGCAAAGATCAGGAGAGCCTTGCAGTTGGCAAAAGATCAGGAGATCCTTGCAGTGGGCAAAGATCAGGAGAGCCTTGCAGTGGGCAAATATCAGCAAGACCTTGCAGTGGGCAAAAATCAGGAAAGCCTTGCAGTGGGCAAAGATCAGGAGAGCCTTGCAGTGGGCAAATATCAGCAAGACCTTGCAGTGGGCAAAGATCAGGAGAGCCTTGCAGTTGGCAAAAGATCAGGAGAGCCTTGCAGTGGGCAAAGATCAGCAAGACCTTGCAGTGGGCAAAAATCAGGAGAGCCTTGCAGTGGGCAAAGATCAGGAGAACCTTCATCAGAGTCCTGCAGTGGGCAAAGATCAGCTTCAATCCTGTCCATTCTGTGACATTGTCTTCCCATCTCTTCTTCTGTCTTGCTCTCTTTCTGACTGTTCCCTGGAGCACTGTCTTGCCAAGCCTCTCTCCTCTTTTTACGTGGCCGAACCATTATAGTTTGCGCCTCTTGGATGTGGTGAGAAGATCTTTATAGGGACCAATGGCTTGCCTTATTCTGTTTTTGACTTCCTCATTGGTTATATGGTCTTTGTATGAGATGCCAAGCAGTCTTCTGAAACATCTCATTTCTGAGGCCTGAATCCTCTTCTCTAATGCTGCTGTCAGGGTCCATGTTTCACAAGCATACAAGAAAACTGAGTGGACAAGGGAACGCATGATTCTTATCTTTGAGCTGATCTTGATTGCCTTGTCCTTCCAGATGATGTTCAACTTACCTAGTGTTGCAGCTGTCATTTCAACTCTGGCTAGTACTTCTGGCTTAGACCCCTCATCTGAAACTATTGCTCCAAGGTATTGGAATTTCTTCAAGGTTTCAATCTTTTCTCCGTTGGCAGTGATGTCAGTTTGGATTCCATGGTCATTATTTGTCATCAGTTTTGTTTTGTTTGCGCTGATTTCCATGCCGTAAGCTGTAGAGGATCTGTCTAATTGCCTGACCAGGTTCTCCCGTCTATATCATCAGCAAAACGCAGGTTTGTGATTGTTCTGCCACCGATACTGACTGTTCTGTCATCTGTCATAATTCTCTCAAGGAAAACATTGAAGAGTGTCGGCGAGAGCAAACATCCTTGTCTCACTCCAACTTTTGTTTTGGAACCAGTCTCCAATGTCCCCGTTGAGGTAAACGGCACTGCTGGTTTTGTCGTATAGGTTTTGTATGACGCGGATATTGTTAGCGTTGATATTGTAGTAGTTCGTGGTCGCTCAGAGTGAACTACTACAACATCAACGCTATTATATCGGTATATAATTTCAGGAAATAATCTATCTGAACCTAACGGAAATGGTTCTTCGTGTAAATATAATCCAAATAAGTATTTTAAAAATGTCACTCACATTAACAATATGAGCAAGTTCAGGATTTGTAGAGGGGATGTTAATGTGATGCCATCACTTCGCAATTACCTTTGCATAAAGAGCATCATGATTTTACTTACATGAATCGTAAAGAGGAAAATATCTTGTAACCCAACCCCTCACCTGGCATTAACAAACTCTTGCTTTTTGTGTAGAGTGTACAGATTGTCTTAACCTATTGGTTATGTCCTCGGTCTCTAACAAACCTGTCTATAAAATGAGTACGTGCAGCTTTCTGCTTGACCATCAGTTTTACATACGGTTGTGGGATCGCACAACATTACGTGATGTGCGATGTGCGCACAATAGGAAAATTGGACGAAATAAGCTGTCGCACGTTGTCGGCCCTTTCACACGAATGTGCGATTCTATAGTGGCTGATATAATTTTAGAAATTATTTATAGATGAAGAAGTGTGGGATAGTGTTTATTATTTTCTAAATGTTTAAGAATATATCTAATTGTATTTCCTAATTAAATCATTAATAGTCAGATACACACTGAACTGTTAGATAAAGACGTAATTTTAAGTGTTTTGTTTACAAAGAGCCACACATGACCAGCCTTAGTGTATGGACACACATTATATGTATTATATATATAAACATTAAATGGATGTCTCTTAATGCCACAGCATTATCTCATTCCGTCAGAAAGAAAAAAATATTTCATTACTTCTGTATTACTCTCATTTTTCATTCATTATGTAAACAAAAGCTATATGCTCTTAAGCGTTGTGTTTGTTATAAGGGCGACCCAGACGGACCTTTCACGTATATACCCGTATACTGGTAAACTTTTGTTGCCCGAAGCACCACTACTCGCCACCTTCTGAGGTTTGAAACTATGTACAGTAAGACTAATTTATGCAGATCCAGTTTTATTTCGAAAACTGTCGAATTAAAATGATTTCTATGATCAACTATCAATATCAATGTTAATGTGATCGCTATATAGTAATAACTTCACAATTGTTCCGTTTAATCTTCAATCCGTAATATTAGCCAACCATTTTTACCAAACCGGACAAAATATGCCTTGCTATCCTACAGTTGTGCGCATGATACTGTGTCGTGCGTGTGTGCAAACGATGTACGTACGAAGGTTTTGGTGCGTCGTGCGTTATTACAACTGTATAATATGATCAGGCTGGTTGCCAGGGTAACGTATCAAAGTGATGACGTTTCAATGTAATGGTGTCACAAAATCCGCAAGAATGAAAATTTATTCCAGGGAAGACAACAATTTCTGGAAAGTTTGCTGTTAAAAGGACGCAAAACAATTTCGTTATATTGTAATAATGACAAAATAGTTTTTATTCCCGCTTCTAATATCTTTAAACCGTGAATTCTTAGATTAATACAATGCAGGCAGCGTTTACTATGATGATCCTGTCCTGTCCCAGAAGGACTAAACAGTTATACGATGCAGTTAGCTTCGGCTCTACTTGTCAATGATCGTAAATTACCAGACATATGAAAATAAAACTACGACATTTTCCCAATTACTGCACCTCTCAATCTCAATTTCAGTTTTTTCTCGATCCATTTTGATTTTCCTCATAATCCTACGACGTGTGAAAAATTAAGCCCTTAGCATCACTATCGAATCTTAGAAGGACGAAACAACCGTGTGATGCAGTTTAATTCATATTTGGCTTCACAGTACTATAAAGATAAAATATATTCTGTAAATCTTTTCGCATGCTCCCGATTCTCTTGTACATTAATAACTAGTCTAGTAGGTTGAGATCGGGGCGACATTTACATATTGCTTTGAAGCACTACTTGTCCTGGTTTAAAACCAAAGTCTGTCAGAAATATTCCTAGCAAGCATGTTTGTTTTGCAGTCATGAATGCTTCGTCTTTACCTACATGTAAGTTCCTTGGTGGGTTTTATCATTTTAACACCAGTTTCGGCTGCCTTTTTAATCGCAGCACATCAGACTCATAGCATTGCGAACGAATTATTATGCGATTTACCAGTGCTTAAGTATACAGTGTGCGCTTTATCTATTCCAAACTTTGCAATTAAATCTATTATTTACACCTGAGTGTCTTTCTTACAGTTCTTTATTGATAATGAAAGTTCAAGACACCCTAAAGGTAAACCAACATTATCTGATAAATGGAAATTACGAAATATATTTATTTACGTGATTAGTGTACCTTCCTATCTAGATTTTAACCTTTCTTTTGACATTTGGGATTTTCTTCAGTAGACTTCTTATTCTAGTCCTAAAAAAACGAAACAGTTTGATATTCTAACAAAGCTCTAATTTTGTATGAAAATGTGCAATTCACTTGTGCATGTTTTATACAATCTTCAAACCCCTAGGTTCAAGGATAAAGAATGCTTCACTTTGGTGTATTTCAAGTTATAGATGTGCAATTAAATCTAAGCTTATAAATCCTGCTCAACAATGACCAGAAGTATACATTCTTTATTAATAAAACAGTGGCTGTTTTACATAGAAATCGTTTATATTTGATGTTTTACAAATATTAGAGTGTCTCAATATCACTTTAACATCCAGGATCCGCATGTGGCAAGTGGTTTCGAAGACTGAGTTCCGCTGTAGGTTGCAATCCAAAAATTTCAATGTATTCAGGGCAGAGTGGGACGTAATAGGTGATATAATCATCAATAGATTCCCTGATATTGTCACAACAACCTGCGAAATTGTTGACGATTGTGCTCACCCAAACGTAACTGCACATACAATCGATGCTGCTACCCTCAAGACTGATGGTGTTGACGTGGGTGGTGTTAAAGGCCTCGGGAATAGTATTGAGGTTAGTATAGCTGATGTCAACTTCATTTAATGTTTCATGACTACCAAATGCGGTATCCGAGATAAATTTAATTGGATTGTGTGCAAGGGTAAGATTGGTTACATGAGGAATGTTTTCGATATCATTGTTTTCTATCGTCACCAAGTTGTTGTGAGACATGTCCAATTGGTTGAGTGATGTCAGATGGAACAAGGCACCCGGAATTCTGTCAAGATTGCAATTATGCATCGTCAAATGGCTGATACGTAGGTTCTCAATCGATTGGTCACTGATAAATTCCAGACGATTGTTACTCATGTCTAAATTAAGAAGGCTTGGAATGTACGCGAGGGCACGTGGAAAGCTAGTTAGGTTATCGTTGATGAGACTGAGGGTTTTCAATGTACCAGTGTTGCCTGGTCGAACAAACGCTTGAGCAACGACTCCTTCATTACCCACCCTTTTATTATTATCAAAATGGAACTCATCAATCCGACGAAGGGTACTTACACCGAGCGGAACGGAAACAAGTTCAGTATTCGTGATGGTTAACACCAATAATGTGCTCCGGAATGAGTGGAAAGCCAAGGGTGGTATGACCTTGAGCTGATCACTTGAGCGGTCCAAGGTCAAGTCCTGTAAGTCCTGAAAGTGACTAATAGTCTCCGGCCATTCGTCAAGGTCGCGATGCCCAAACTTGAATGTCTGGATAGTGTCACCCATTTCCTTCATAATGCTGTTAGTTAAGGCGATGGGGATGTATCCAGAATCAGGATTGTTCCTGACGTCAAGTGAATTAATCATAGGAAGACGACTTAATGCGAGCGGCAACTCAGTAAGTTCGTTTCCATGAAGATCAAGACCTTTCAGATTCTTTGTGTTCTCAAAAGCCCTTTCATCTATTGTCGTTATGTCGTTTTCACTAAGGTCAATTAGTTCGGCTGTTGTGCCTGTAAAATCTGTCAGTCTCATATGTGTTAATTTGTTTTTTGAAAGGATGATTTCGTATACGTTGCCTTGGTTTCTTACACCTTCGGGAACCGTTGTGTAGTTACGTCCGCTACAGTCTATCACGTCTTGTCCATCTCTATCAAAGCACGTGCATCCAGTGCATGAGTCGAATGATTGTACTACTGGTAACGCAATCGACAAAACCTGCAACAAATAAACATATCGATATCCTAAGAAATCATTATCATGTATAAATGTATCTATTTCATACCGACTTAGTGTCAATCCACTTCCCAATGAAATAATTTAAGATTTATTTTCTTGATGAAATTGTTTGCTATGCTGTTTTAAAAGACAGTATTACTTATCCTTAACACCAATAAACTGAATAAACTGAATAGTTACCTACCTGGACATATGCATCTTTAATTGATTTTGTCAGTACTCTTTTTCCATGGACTTATCTGTCCAGGAACTATCAAATATATTTTTCTTGAATTATCAAGAATCAGGGCCCGTATTAATGAAACTATTCTCATGCTCAAGCATAGATGTTGTGCTCAAGCAAACATTTTATATTTAGCTTTGTCTTTTCAAAATTGTTTTTAAATCTTCGGCAAAATCAGCCTTATTTATTAATTTTTAACTTAAACAAGACAGCATTGTGAGTTTTACAGAAAGATACCTTGACGAGCAACTTTTAAACGACCTATAAAATATTCCCATTTTCACTCTTTCCATAATGAATGATGAATGATAGAAACGTTTTTTGAGGTAGTGTCCTTTTATATGTAAGAAAATGGAAATTTGTATCTACTGCATGGATATGGACTAAAGTAAAGTCTTACAATAAAATTATCATGCTTGAATATTTTGATCGATCGTCTCATTCTATTTATGATTTGATCGTAATTTAGACTTGATATTTCAATCTGTGTGTGATTCTGGTTCAGAAATAGTTGAGCTTGATGACATTTGTGCTGTCTTCGGTCGTCCTAATTTGCATCTTGATACTAGCTTGTGAATTGTACGAAATACACACACATGAATACAAGATTTTAAGACAATTTTAATGTTAGATACAGTAAAGCCAAACAATTTGCAGTGACGCTAATGGCATAATTTCTGAAACCTCGGAGACGACTTAGGATTATCCGAAGTGATCGAAAGAAAAGTGAAATATATATGGTGAGGTGCGCTAGCCGCATAATTCAATACGGTTCAGAATGTTCAGATATCGACTTTTTAATCACAATGTCATATATATTTGTATGTTCTGAAGCGAATCATTATTCGAATGAATCAAAAGGTAGGATGCAGGTTACGGCAAAACTCGCTGACAAAAAGTCTAACAGCAGTGTCTACTACTGGCGATCTCGAAATTACCACATTCGTTTTGGAAACCACTCATGCTACACCTGTCTCAGTCACAACACTAGACCCAACGTTTTGTTTAATAATATTAAATGCATCGTTAGTGGTGGTTTTGAGATGGATATCGTGATAGGCTGTCATTAAGCAATAATTTGGCATTACGCCTGGGTTTTGAACAGTTAAATAATTCGATCACCAAAGTTAATTGGCAAAAAAATGCATCTGATCCTTTCTTCATAAGGCATTTTCTTAATTTAGTTTATGTATTCAAATTCATAAAGTAAGCATTCCTGGGTAAGTTGATACGACTTTCAAAAAACTAAAAAAGTATCATTTAAATATCAGGAATCTAGAAATGGAGTCAAGAGGTAATCAACCCCATATAGCATCACGTTTATTATATTTCAAACTTCATTTCAATAGTCAAACATATTACACCAACTCATAACTGTATTGACGTACCGAAGATGTCCTATAGTAGAATATATTTAGAACACAAAGATTGCGTCATCATAGTGCCAACACAAATTCAATAAAGCTATGGCACACTATGATTTAGAGAATGACTTACACGGATACTCAAGAAAAAGTACAAGGAGAAAAGACCTGGTGTTTTCGTACACATTGGATATCACGCAAGAATGTTGTCATCCTTGTAATCTTCATATTCAATGTTTTATTATTTTAATTTCAAAAAAGCTATTTTGATACTATTGATTACGGAAAGCGTCTGTCTGGTTTTGACCTTTTATACTATTAATTGAAAACAAAACATTTTTAAATGTTTGTAATTTACAACCAATTTAGATATGTTTTTTTTTTTTCAGAAAAGATAAAATACAGTCTCATGTTTTGTCCCCTGAAGAGATGAAATGAAACAACGTCGAGATTTTTTGGCCTATGTAATAGGCATTTTTTTACAAAGATAACATCATTAAGTCATAACCCGCACATAGTAGTTTCTACTAAGAATCACCCAAATCTTAGTGTAAGGAATTACGATGCCGATCAATGTTTCAATATATTTGCCAAAATACATTTCTTTGTGAGTCTACAAGAATTGTGTTCTTGTTTACCATTTAGTCTAAAACTAACTTACCAGAACTCCCAGCAAGATCGTTGAAGGCACCATATTGACCCTCGATAGGTGTAATGATTACAACAATACAACACTTTCTAAGTCTAGGACCACGAACGCTTATCTGCAAGACGTGTAAAGAATTTCTAGAACCAATAGGTGCGGTCTCATGATAGACACCAAAGTAATGGCCAATCCGATTTTTGCATACATTGTGTTAAACACAACAGGATGTTAATCTCCATGTGATCTCTTTTTTGTTATATGCATGCGACTATCAGTTTCTCAAGCAATGCTAATCGTTTTAGAGCAATAATTTGAAATATGATATAATTTTGAGCATATAAATACGTATTGATATGACTCAAATTACGTCATTAATGAGGCGACTAACATGAATTAACTATACAAATACCAATGATAACTTTGATTAAAAATATCTACAATAAGGTACAATATATAATCACATAACATCTGTATGTAAATACGTCAAATGCATTATTTCAGAGAGGCAAAGAACGAAATTCAATGTGCTGGTCATGATATATTCTCATCAACCATGAAACCATGAGGCGCCCGAGCAAAATTTGCAATGCCAAAAATAAATGTCCCAAACCCAAACCCAAATTTCTTTCTTTTTTTTTTTTTTTTTTTTGGGGGGGGGGGGGGAGGGGGGAGGGGGGCAGGGAGGGGGTATCAACTCGAATATTCAACTTACCGGAAATATTGAATAGTTGGCAATTGAATTAAATCAAAATGCAACAGAATACAAAATTATGTTATTGCCTATGCAATCGCCATTACAAGGTATATAATAAATTCGGTTATATTTCACTTCAAGATCGCCAGATGTAATATACAAGGTATGTATGCGGGAAGGATGCATTCACCGTTTAGTAAACATACATTTTAATTTCGGAATCATTTGCAGTGCAAGGTAATTATGCCGTTTATTTTTTTTTCTTTTGACCTTTCACTTACGCTTTGTAATAAAAGAATAAAAACTATTTGTCATAACTTGGCTTTTTTACATTTTTCACAATTTTCGATTTGTAATAAAAAAAATTACTTAATTAAGCGTTTATATACAAATATGTATATAAAAGACAGGGTTGTAGTACATATTATTTTGAAACTGCATGCAACTGTACTCGCAGAACCAAGTCTGTCCAAACTATCGATACAAATGATATTGTCGGCAGTTAGGTCCTACGACGTGATAAGAATCTAAAAACACATCTGTTACAATTCTGCTGAACATTTAAACACGTTCTGTTGATCTATTGCGTCAGTCTACAAAGGAAATTTATCGTGCGAAGGTATGTAACATAATCATAATTGATGTTGATGGTTGTCTGACCGTTTAAGTAATCACTGATATCTGATATTATTTTGAAGTTAACTGTGAGCACAGGGGTATATAGTATGGGTTGGCACTTCAAATGATTGAAATTTGCCTTTTATCTTTATAAACAGATACATGGGGAACCAGTTTATCGTTAAATGGAAATGTGTATGTGTTGTCAATGATAGTTAATTATTGAAAACCGAAAAACTAACAAAATATTTTTTCTATCAATACTACAGTTTTATTATATAAAACTAAGAAAACGAAATTTCTCAATAGTGCCGTTTTATTTTATAGAATTTACGAAACGAAACCTTTTATCAATACCGCAGTTTTATTTTATAAAACTAACGAAATAAACATTAATCAATACTGCAATTTTATTATATCAAAGTAACGAAACAAACCTTCTATCAATACTGCAGTTTTATTTTATAAAATTTACGAAACGAAAGCTTTTATCAATACTGCAGTTTTATTTTATAAAACTTACGAAACGAAAACTTTTATCAATACTGCAGTTTTATTTTATAAAACTTACGAAACGAAATTTTTTATCAATACCTCAGTTTTATTATATAAAACTAGCGAAACGAAACTTTTATGAACGCTACAGTTGTTGTATAAAATATTTTAGACTGTTCATAACTTCTTTTTTTTTTTGAAAACCGCGGCTGCTTCCCTTCAAATGTATATGAAGCAATTATTAAATAAAATAAGTTCGTTAGTTGTTTATAAACAGACAAGACAAAGGTAGCATATTAGATAATGGAGTGAAGAATTAGGGTTCTAACTATGCCATATTTGAACTCATAAGCCTAAGAAATGTTTGATTAGGATTGAAATAAATTTGGAAATTTAAATGTCGATGTCTATTGGAAAAATAATTGAACAGCCTACGAGATTCTACACAAATAATTTTTATAGTTATATATCTACATAGTTTCGCCCTTGTACAATTACACACGAATTCCCCTCATGTTCATTGCGCTGTCTCAGGATTCTATAAAAAAATTTCGACCTATCTTTAATTTGTTTTCCCTGTTCGCGGACGAAAAGGACGAAAATTAACGGGAGCGAACACTTCCCGGTTGTTTGTATTTTTCCAAGGATGTCCATGCAAGTCTTTCTTTTATTCATGCTTTGCCCTGGTGCCATATAATTTGAGTTTGCATTAAAATGTGCCGGTATTTTCATTTCCTTTACGATATGGTGAAATTCAGTTCGTTATATTGATAACACTAAAACAAACGTGAGTGATTATCCTCTTAAACATGCTTTTTACTTCTTTTGAATTTCTATACAGATTCCACTTGGGTCTCACCAAATTAGAACTTCAGTATGTATGTTCTGTGGGTAAGTACGTCTTTTTATAAATAATGCTGATGATGTCATTTTTTATGGCACGAATCTTACAAATTTCATGTAATTTTGAGTCTACGAATGAAAAAGTGTGGTTAGATATTAAGATACGAATGCTTAGTTTTGTCTACTAATATCAGATCGTTTTCAATCTTTTTTTTTTCTTTTGTTACCTTTTCATATTATTCATATATAATGAATGTCAATGCTTTTATATTGATATGTTCATTTGAATTATTACCTTCAAAATGCTGAATGAATTTATTTTACTATCTGGTACAGGCTTGTATTGTGGGTCTTTCCCTAATCGGCCGTTCCCATCAGCAGTCCGTTCATTGTCTCCCTACAGAATTCTCCAGTCACAACTGTTCCTGTATAGACAATGATATCCTCTGCCAGGGCATCGTAGTGCTAGCCTCTCTCATCAATCCTGTTGCAATGAACTCACTCAGCATATATAACAGTCCAAATCTACAACTCCCAAATAACACTTTCGAACACCTTACTTTGACGAGGCTATCTCTAGCAAACAATGATTTAACTGATAGTGAGTTTCATTTCAACACATTTAAAGGTCTTACTGTTGAAGACCTAGATCTGAGTAACAACAGACTGACGGAGATTCCCGAAGCCGTCATCAATGTTGAAAACATCAGAGGTTTGAGCGTGTCTGGAAATCCTCTTGAAAACTTCCATGATCAAACAACAAAAATGAAGGAAATTGGAAACACTTTACTTCGGTTTTCGTTTGGAAGTGATGAGTTCGACTCCAAATGGCCTATTGAGTTGAAATACTTTCCTCGTCTGGAGGAACTCAATGTGACGGGTGGAGGGTTTTCATTAATGCCTATTGAAGCTTTTTATGGTTTTGAAAAAACACTTAGGAAATTATCGATGTCACACACGAACTTGAAATCTGTACCCCTTGCTTTCGCCAGGCTGGACTACATGACCGAGCTTCGTTTCGATCACAATCAAGAAGTAGGGGACTTTGGAATGAACGTGCCGCTGGTTCACGGTATACTAAAGCATATTGGACTGGTAACCCTGAAAGATGACAATATTACTACCTTTCCCAAGATCTTAGGAAAGTTTGATAACCTTACTAAACTAGAAATGGGTGAAAATTTGTTGAAATTTGTCAGCGACCAGTCGGCCAATTCCATCAAACGTGTTACAAGTCTGAGTCTACACAATTCGAACATATCGCGAATACCTGGAGCACTTCAGGATATGACAACATTGAAGGAGATTGATCTGTCCTTAAATGGAATACACAGCATACAACGACAAGATCTGGAAAAGCTGACGAATCTACAGGTTCTCAACTTGAATGACAATCCTTTAGAATATGTTTCTGACAATGCTTTCAAGATGTCGCAACAGCTATCCAGGGTGGAATTCCGTAACACTCACCTGAAGATTGTACCCTGTGCCATAAAGTATCTTCCTCTGCGTTCTATGAATATCACTATTGATTTGACTGGCAATGATATTGAATGCACTTGCTCTCTGCAGTGGCTGTACAGTTGGGGAAGTCATGACATAACTAGCAACAGGAATCAGCATCTTAGTATCCTTGGCAACTGTTTGACTATCGACAGCACCATTCAAGACTACTTTGATAAAACACTGCATACTTGTCCCAATTCCTATCTGTGTGACAACGTTAACCCTGCAGCGTCAAGTCATTGAAACTTAATTGTCTTTGGATGCGTGTATATGTCCGTGTAATATGAAAGACACTATCTTATTGTTTTTGATTTCATTATTGAATTATTGAAATAGTCAAAACTATAAAATTAATTGAGACTGACAATAAACATCATAATTACATCTTGTTTTGTGTCGTTTGGTGTTGGGTTATGATATCTTTAGAATATTAGCTGTAATTCAAGCGTCATGGTTTGTTTGTTTTCTACCTGGTTCTAGGATTATTGTGCAAGACTTCATTTGGTTATAGTCTAATCTCACCTCCGATTTGACGTCCTATTCAATAAAAATTTTTCCCATGATCTGTCATATTTTATCTTTCAAATACACATATACATTTCGTGTAAAGATATTTCCTGTGTATGTATTATGTCGAAACCATGTTGAAACAATTACGGAGACATGAAAATATTTCAGTTAGGGTTATTAGCAATAATCCTTTAATTCAAAAGCACCGAGTTACTATGACACATTTATTAATTCAGATGAATATCTTCCTCTGGTGATATTTTTAACAATTGTCAGTTACAGTTTACAAGGATGATTGTGTGGAACGTCCTCTAACTTAAGGTGTATATTTTGGTCATATTTTTTTTACGCAAAGAATAATTCTCTCTATTTTACGTTATCATAATCACACCACCGAAATTGATCATGATAATATTTGATATTGTAATTATCGTAATATCATTCATTGCCAACAGTGTTAAGCCATTGAAATACATTCCAAAATTAACTAAGGAATTTAATAAAGTTTTTATAATTCAATTTATTGTTATAACTAATATTCAACTCATTTCAAAATCATATATTTTGTATTGTTTGGAATGGTGTTTTAATGATTTTGTTAATAAACCACTACATGTTTTACACCAATTTCAACCTTGTTGTTTTCGTATGATAATTCATTCTCGCGAGGAATTTATTTTCCTTGATTTCATTAAACTCCTGTTCAACGGATACGTTTTCAAATGCATCAATTTCAAATAAAAATCAAAATAACTATTTGTTGCGTAAAATTCATCAACGAAAGCACGTGCTTACGCAATAAATTTCCTTTATGACCCATGAACTTTGGTTTTTGAAGTTAACACAATACAACACTTACAAAATATATCAAACCTATATTGTATATGTTACATGGACTATAGATGCTTCAATGTTACACAGCTTTAAAACAAAATAAAAAATAGCTGTATTGTTTTACCAATCTAGACATATCAACATCAACGCCAATGAAAGAGTTACCCCCAACGTCATCCTCCTGCGAATTTATGTCTGCAATTTGGAAGAAGATAACTGATTACCTGTGCATTATGTAAACCGATTATAAACTAAGTTAACATCCAAGATAAACACATCCGTTTATACATCATTGTATGTATTCGCTTACTTCGCAGATGCGTTTCTTTTTAAAGTTTCGGTAAGAAAAATCTTATTAACATACCGAGGGAGAACAACTCAAAGAGTGCCTTTACATGGAAAACGTTATCGATCATGTTAAGATCACCTATGAATTAACATTGTATCGTCATTGTAAATGCACCATGTGTATTGCATTTATAACTATTCATAATTAAAAGACAAAGGGAGAATATGGAGTGAAAATGATTATCTTCTCTGTGTTATGCAAACAGAAAAAAATATTTACATTCAGGGTCAGATGTTTGTCGTTCAACACGCGATAGAGCCGCCTATGATTCTTCCTCAAAGATCGTGGTTTATCTGTCCACATGATACAGAAGTAAAATATGATGTCACCCACATGGTAAACACACATGAAAACAACAGAGAATTTTACAAATAAGATTTTTTCTTCATAACATTTTATGATCCATGAATAGATACGACGGAGCAACATGTATGGTAAAAACAAGCAAAAATCACTAAATTAAGAACGACAGAGAGGTCGAAGATGTCACAGGAATTAGCAATGAGTCAGAAAGATGACTGGCATTTACCCTTATCAGAAATCAAAAATGATACCACGTGATCCTCAAGGGTGTTCATTTCTTATGTAATTGTGTGTTTTTTTTTCTATTTTTTCGTATGTTTTTCTAAATGTAACGGCAATGACATTTATGGCATTAGATAATGGTCTTAAATAAAAAGCAACCTAATGTTTTCAACGTTGGATGTATAACTTTGATAATTTTGTCATTAGATTTTGTCCTGTTTACAAACCAATATACAAACCGTCACCTTTTTGCTGCATTACAAGCATGATAGTTTGTTTGTTGTTTCCGTTGTTGTATCCCTTGTTCTTTTTTAAATTGACCACGGTTTACATGGCGGGCGTCGTCTTCGCGGAAGACGCTTACTGTTCAGAAACACCTGATATTTTTTGCAGTTTTTTTTTTTGTCTAACCTACTTTTAAAACGTCTTTCCAAAATGAAATTTTACAGTTTTGTGGACAGTTTTTCATATAGTCATTACCACAGTTTTTTTTTCTAAAATATCCTTATTTACATATCTGTTAAAGAATACGTGACATTTTCCATCTGTTGTATATAGTGTACGTATCTAGGTCTTGATGATATCTCTTATTATTTCATCTGACTTACCATTCCATAAAAAAATTTAAAGTTCTGTATTTAGAATTTTTTTTATAAAAGATCCGTCCGGATTTGGCAAGGACATGAAAACATTTTTGAATTGAGATATGAGGAGGGACTTAATCATAAGTATTCTTCCAAGAGGTGTAAGAATCCTTCCATTCCAAGTGGTGTAGGTCCACACCAAATACAATAACTAATACTGTAAGTTTTTGTGAAACCCCATTGTAAATTACGTAAGCATGTGTACTATATCTTTACTTAGTTTTATTGAATTTGAGTTTTGATTATTATTTTTTTGTTGTCAATAAGTCATTCTATTCATATCATAAGTAATCCTAATCACAATCCTACATTTAGTGTGTCAAAGAAGACATTCTTAAGATCAACTTGCTGCATGTTATTACAGAAGTAACCATGCCAGTAGTTATTAAAGATAAACAAATTGATAACGTCGTCAAATGAATATTGAAAAAAAAAATAGTGACGTTAAATAAACATGTCAGGTGATAAATGTAGCGTCTGTACTATCACGTGAAAACAGGTTATGCACACATTGGGTCAATATTAAACTTACCTAGTACATAAGCTATTGATGGTAGATGGCACTGCCGGTCCGTTGGAGTCGTCAACCGAGTCCGTCCTTCACTGAATGTTTCAACCCCTAATTCGGAGCACTGTGGATGGTGGGTGAACATATCAGTCATTGTGCTCAAACACGGCTTCCTGGCACTATCCTTCTTCATCCACACCCAACTGGAGGCACGTTCAGCTGCTTGGTCGAGCCTTTTTACTACTACTTTTCTTTCCTTCCCCATAACTCCTAGTGGGCTAAACATTCTCCATACTGATTGTACAGTGATATCCCTCTTCTCAACTTCTACAGGGAAGTTCCATGTCTGCCATCCCTGCTCCGGACACTCTTTCAACAGGTCCTCGTACTTGGCACTTTTCCTCTCATTGCCGACATCTCTACTCCCAAGCACAGTCAGCCACACCAGTATCAATTTCTTCCTCTCTTTAAACAGTACAATATTTGGTCTGATAGTTATCTTGACACTGTCTACTGCAGACGATCTCCCAATCAGATTCACTTACATTTTCCACTTGTCTGTCATTTCCAATAGTCCTTTTAGTTCCCGGAACAGGGGTACTATATCCTTCCTATACAAGGCTGATGGTAAAACCCTTCTGTTTGCCTACTTTCCGTTTGGCTTTCCTTTCCTTTTCCAAGGTATCTGTAAATTCACATTATGTACTTCGTTATGTCTCCATGTGTAACGGCCCTGACAGTTTGTCATGGTCCAACGTCCCTCTTTTGTCACACAGAGCACAAGTCGGATCTGGTACCAGTCCACATCTGTGAAGATTGACTAGTGATGGTAAGTCATCATATACTGAATGCAATTGAAACTACAAGAACTTGTCAATATAGCACTAGCTTCTTTCCAAAACTCATGAATGAATGGAATGGCCCATCTTGTCTGTATCCCTCATTAACTTCTATTTATGCGATAAAAAAAACTTTTTTTATCACAGCAAGCTACCATTCCTCCTTTCCACTGTAATGATACTTTCAAATATAAAGGACAAAGAAAAGCTAACATAATTTTATGTCAACTAAGAAACTCTGCAAGTAATCTGAATTTTGATTTATTCAATTCCCACCTTAAAGATAACCCTGCCTGTAACTGTGGCCACCCAGTTGAAGATTGTACTCATTTCTTTTTCCACTGTCCCTTCTTTACTAACCAGAGACAACTCCTCTTTAATTCCCTTTCTGACCTTAGTGATTCTATACCTCCTACAATTGATACATTTCTTAAAGGTTCTCCTATACTTGATGCAAACATGAATAAATCTATTCTTGATATAGTTCAGAGATTCATAACTGACACTGGTCGCCTGTTTTAGCAAATGTACATCTCATTCTATACTTCTATCTTTTCTATCTTTCATTTGTATTTGATGTCTCAAGTGTGGGTACGCCTGTCCATTTTAGGGACTCAGCTCAGGATTGTGTGCAAATGGACTGTTTGAACCTGCAGCCTGTCCCACCACAAATGGACATATTTTGACCCAGTCTTGTAATATCTTGTGATACCTAATTGTACTTTTTAGTTTATGTTACTGCTCTGGAACTCAATAATACAAATGATGGTGATGCCAATTTTGCATTTCTGTTATATAATCATCCATTTGAATCTATCTTCTACATTATTATTCCTAATATTATTATTATCTGTTATCTTTAATTTTGATTGATGTGTCTGTATACTTGTTTATGCACTGTAAGGAGAGGGCTTTCATAGGCCCTGCCTGTTGCCCAATTCCTATTGTCAATGCCACCAAGACAATAAAATATTCTGAAATCAAAAAAACTGAAACTATGGATATCGCCAGATGTCCTTCCAAGTTAGTAGCCTCTGCTCTGTGTCCCAACTTGTCCACGTGCCCTCGCAGCTCATCTTCACTCCTTTCCTCCACTCCTTGAACTCTGATCTCACTGTGCACCAGTTCTCGTTTTTTCTCTCTATAGTTGACTGATTTCCACAGTTGTCTGTGTGTTGTTCTCAGACCCCGTATTCCACTACAAATTGTTTCCACTGTCTTTGTGACTGAGTCTGCATTCTGCGTCCTCTACAGCCTTACTTACTGACCACTTTTTCCCAGAACGCCTGCCTGCCAGACTTATTCACCCATTTGGTGTTTCAGCGTCATGACAAGTATGGCCTTTCCTACCTTGTATTTCTCCACCACAGAATTAATTGGTAACTTTAGTTTCGACGTCCTGTTGTAGAAAACAACGCTTGAAAAGATGATGGAACTCCAAGCCATGGCCACAAATATCTGTTGATAATTCTTTCTAAGCCTTCTACTGTTGTGATCTCCATTTCATATAGCGCTCAACGTCATACGGGAACGCAGACCATGCTGAAATATCCAGGCCTCGAAGTTGCCACATAGACCCGTCTTGTCGATTTTGCTCATTCCCTCAACCGTTTGCTGTTCTAGTCGCCTGATGCTGTTGGTGTCGCGAAAACTCGCATCATATCACTTTCCCAGACATTTGATAGGGTTGCCAACTATCAATGGTATAGTTTCTCGTTGTGCTGTCAGCTAGACTGTTTGGTTATTTTTCTCTTCCTGGCGATAAGATATCTTGACTTCTGCTGTTTGAAACGCATCCTTGCCCATGTTCCTCTCTCCTCCAAAGCATTCAGGACCCATCGAGCTTGGACATGGGTTCCTGTCGTGTGGTCAGATCGTCCATAAAACCTGTGCAGAGTGGTTGTCTGATGTTGGTATTCGTCTTTGGGCCTCTAGTCTCCCTTTATCCTGCCTTTATCAGCATGTTCATCCCCATTGCGAAGAAGGTGACTGATATAGTGCAGCCTGCCACGGTTCACTTCTATAATTTCTGCAAGGAAGTCGCGAAATATCAAAAATAGAATCTTAATTGTACGCCACTGGAGTGGTTGCTGATTATTCTCTGTATAAAGCCTGGTATACTGTTATGCTTCAATGCCTTCTCTATCAGTTTGTGGGGATTTATCCCATGCGCATTTGCTAGGTAAAACCAGATGACAGTCAGATCTTCTCTGTTCACCCTTCTTATCCTATGAGTTTGCTGATGATGCTAGTATGTTCAATGCATACAGAAAAGTTTGGGACTCATCCTTTTTGAACTTACATGTCCACATACTGTTTAAACGTCATGAATGTTACTAAATGCCTTCCAGCACCGAGAAGTATATTTTCCCGTCCACATTGAGCAGAGATATCGCCCGATGCCCTTGTAGTTTTCGTCTTTAGATACAAAAACTCCACCAGCTGTCTTCCGACACTCCTATCCTCCAGGTCACTCTCAACAACAGCCACACCCTTTATTTGTTGGCATCTGGTCTCTTCCGTTGTTCCCTTCATTATTTTTTGTCTGTGAAGCTGTTTCGTTCCCATAATAACCGTCATCATCTCTCTCTCTCTCTCTCTCTCTCTCTCTCTCTCTCTCTCTCTCTCTCTCTCTCTCTCTCTCTCTCTCTCTCTCTCTCTCTCTAAAAAAAAAAGGGAACGTACATATTACGGATGTCATTGATGGTAGTTGGCATTGCCGATCCGTTGGATTCGTCAGCCGAGTTCGTCCTTTACTGAATGTTTCAACCCTCTACATGATAGCATGTCGTGAAATAATTGTCCTTAGCGTGAGTTATCGCCCCTGTTCTAAATCATGTGACCTAATAGAAAAAAGAAGATGGAGTTACTGGCGGGGTTGCGACGAGATCCTAAAATTTGCACAAAAGACGGCCGACAGGTCAGTAATTACATGTAAGTTTCGTTTTTATTGTAATCAATGATGTTATTATTTAACAGTTTATCCCTCCCACTAGACTCGGTTGTTAATTCAGCACCATTCGATTGAAAGTTTACCTTTTTATTCCGATTGATGCAGTGACTGCCAGTTACATACCCCAGGAAATACTGCCCGGCCTGAGGGAGAGGTTTCCCGTAATAGGTATTGTTTGCGGAACGTCTCTTCTGTGGGACTACTGAGTCCTGACAATGAAAGATTACCTCAAGCCGACACCACCACCCCAATGGCCACCCCTAAAAATATATTGAAAATCCTACCTTTACCTGGGTCCAGGGATCTGACATGGGGATCCACGCCCATGTCGCAGTAATTATATATAATACATCTTGTAGAGCACTTTAGACCTAGCCTCGCCTTTCCTATTGTTTTAACATGTGTATTCATGTAAGTGATTAAAATAAAGGTGTTACTGATTTCATTTTTTTCCCTTAAGTGAACTTGGTAAAGGTGAGAAGGCAACAAGTTCAAGATCTGGAACATCTGGAATAAAGACAAAGTCAAGCGATATCTACTATCCAGTGACGATATTACAGCAAAATGACCAACGAAGTAGAGTCCACTATATAGGTAATCATAATGACATAAATCTGAAACAATTTTGAACTAGTGCTCTAGTAACAGAGTAAAAGTGTCCTTCCAGGTGTATATTTGTTATCAGAAAAATAATTTATATAAATATATTTATAAATCAGGATTTGATTATTTCTGTATATTGTCCAGTGGTAGTCTCTCTTATAGTACTTGATTTTGATTGTTTTAAATGATTGCTGCTGATATAAACACTTGCACCCGGTATTGATCTATCTCATGTGAGGGGTCAGATACAAAATGTGACTGATATTAATTCTTCTTTTTGTAGGATACTCCCACAAATTTGATGAGTGGTTAGAGCGGGATGCAATTAAGGAGAGCAGAAGTACATGTATGATAAACAGCTTTCTGCTACAGCAGCTGCAGGTACATCTACTGAGGGAGAAGCTATTTTAATGTAATATATAAAAGTGTCTAATTGAGTTGAAAGTATACCAAATTATAGGTTACTGTGACCCACGTTTTGACCTTTAACCTACATAAAAAGGCTTGTCCTGGCTATATCTCCTATATATTATAGTAAGTGTCACTGGAACTTCATACTTGTCTTCGGTTATGAGTTCACCTTGCCAAGCTCGTGCGTCATCTGTCAGAAGTAGGTCACTGTGAGCTCCTTTTGATGTTTGACCTACATTAAACAAATTCATTATATGCATATAAATTCATGCTCGTTGGAGGACTGTAATTTGTCAATTTTCTTTTTATTATTATTTGATTTTTACAATACTTAAAATTTGGAGAATATTATGGAGAGTCTTACACGGTGATTCTGAATAACCTTTGGTACATGGTACTTTTTCTTTTGAATCACAAATAGATAAATATTTCTTTTTTCCCCATTCGCAGATCCAAATTAAAGACCAGCTGTGCTCATGTGGAAAGAAAGACACCCATAAAGTTATAAGGATCCCTATCAACGAGCAAAGTCTAGAGGATGTTGGGATGTTAATATCAAAGGCAGTATTACACAAAGTGACCCATGGAAAGCGTGTTTACTGCATCAGAAATAGACATGCTTTGGAAAAGTTCCTTGGGGTTAGTTGGGACTTCAGGATTATAAATCAGCAAGGTGACAATTTCTATGTCATCACAGACACAGTGAGGTTTTGGGTCCATGAAAGAAAGCCGATGAAAGAATACATTTTGTATCCAGATTATGCAGAGGAAACCTACTTAAACAGAGGAATGACATTCTGTTTTGCTTTTGTTGTGAGCCCTGGAAACAAAGTTTTGTGGCCAGACTTGTTAAATGCTGATAAGTTATAGACATACCAGTCATTCTCTAGAGGTTTTTTTTTTAGTTCAGACTTTTAAGTTGGAGTTACAATAAGGATTAAATCCTTCACCATATACAAAAGATATGCTTATTCCAAAGAAAGTTCTTTTTAAAGTATTGAAAAGTGGAAAATTTTGGGGAAAATCTTTAGGAAAATGTATGGAAAGATATCAGGAAATGTTGGAAGATGAAATGAATATTTCATTTATAGCAAATAACAAGCAAAGACATCTTTTGAAAGTTGAACTTGATAGATTAAGGAACACAAGTATTCAGAAACACAAGAAGGGTGGAAGGCAGCACCAAGAGTTCATTAAGAAATTGGAAAATGCAATGTACCATTGGAATGTTGGGTTAGATAGACATAAAATACAAGCAAAATTGGAACAAAAAACAATTGAGAATGATAAAATTTTGTTAGAGAAAAGTAAGCTTGAAAACACAATTTCATATTTATCCACAGAAAATGAGAAGCTTATTGAAAAATTGAAAAAGCAGTCAGAGTCTGAAAAGAGCAATTTAACATCAACTCCAAGAGTAGGTTTGAAGAGAAAATTAAGCGATTGTACACCATCATACAAAAGTAAAGTTAGAAAATTTGAATCCCAAAAGTGTAAAACCTCTCTGTCATTTCTCAAAGAGTTTAATTGCCAACCCATATCTGTGAATGTAATGCGGGACAACGGTAGACCTAATGTCATAACACTAGTAGATTCTGACAAATCAGTAAAAGATGACACTACCTCTTTATCTGTTGATGAGATTGAAGAACTAAACATGCTCATATATGTTCTTGATTCTTTTAACATTTCAGGAAATGCTTATCATGAAATAAGCATGTTGTACCATTCCCTACCTCGTAGTTATAAGCTTTCCCAGTATATATCGCATCTAAACTCTGGGTTTGATATAAGAGATACACCAGATGGGTCAGGTGTACAACAGTCTCTGAAGGTCAGACTTGAAGCCGTTATCAGTGACATTGTTTCAGACAATCCTGAATTTGCCCCTGAAAATGTGCTGAAAATAAAAATATCTGGAGATGGAACTCGTGTTGGAAAACATATGAACTTTGTCAATTTTACATTTACTGTGATGAATGATTCGAAGTGTGTATCAGTTCAAGGAAATTATCCCTCGGCAATAGTAAAAACTAAAGAGGCATATGATGAGCTAAGACATGCATTGACAGATCTGAGAAATGAGGTCAGAGATCTTCAAGGTTTAAAGCTGGATATTGGAGAAAGATCTTTTCATGTGAAAATATATCTTGGAGGAGATTATAAATTTCTTTTAATGGCATTTGGGAATGTCTTCCATCCAAGCCAACTACATTTGTATTTACTGCAATTGTTCAAGAAATGAGCGCTGTGATTTGAGCAAATGTTGGTCTTTAACTGACAAGGAAAAGGGTGCTAGGGTAGAATATACATGTCAATTTGTATCTCGAGGAAAGCAGCATAAAAGGTCACAGGTCAAACCACGGCAATCATTTTCAGTTGTCAATCCCCAGAAATACCTCTTTGTGATGTTGTTGTTGACATACTTCATCTTTTTTTGAGAATTATGGATAAGCTTTTGGCATTGCTGATCACCGAGTTAAGAACTGTAGACAATGTTTCATCCCAAAGAAGTTTAAGCGCAGGTGTACTTGATAAAACAAAGTTGAAATGCATACCACAATTTGAAAATGTACTACAAAATATCGGAGTTAAGTTTGTGTTTTTTATCAATAAAAACAAAGAGTTTGAGTATACAGATTTACAGGGTCCAGATAAAGAAATTGTCTTAGGCAAGTTACAAATCAAAGACCTTGGATTGAGTGAAGAAAGATCTTCTCAGATTCAGGAGGTTTGGAATCAATTCAGTGTTATTAACACCATGCTCAAGTCTAGGTGTGATGTGAATGAACTTGTGGAAAAAGTTGATGCTTGGTGTTCTTTGTTTGTTACCAGTGCAGGGACATTACACCATACATTCACTTACTCAGGTACCACGTCCCAGAGCTCATAGAGATGCATGGAGGAATATCACAGTTTACCCAGCAGGGTTTAGAGAAAGCCAATGATGTTGTCACAAAACAATATTTCCGTAGTTCAAACCATAAAGGTAATGCAGCATTGAAACAAATAATGGAAAAGCAAAACAGAATCTTTGAACTAGAAAAACACAAAAGACTGAAAGTTAAATCCTATACATGTAGCATATGTGGTTCTGCACATAGGAAAACTAAATGCCCTAACAAAGAGAATGTTTTGCAGTAATGAGTACATTCATTCTGAAATGAACTATAATATGAGAGCCTGATTTCATTCATCAAAAATTTAGATTCTATTGTATAAGAGACATTTAATGTTCAATTCAATTTGTTGTGACTATTTAGAAAAAAAACTGCAGGAGTTTGGATACAAATACAAGTCATTCTTTGGATGATCGTCGGTTCTTCATTTATTTGTTTTCTTTATTGTATTACTGTAAAAAAACTTTCCAACATTTACCTTAAATATCAAAAGTTTCTTTCAAATTGATTAATTTTGAATTAATAAGTTTTTTTCTAACCATGGTACCAATATAACTTCTAGAGCATGTGTTAAGCTCATCTGTTGCGAATCAGTTGAATTAATGAATTTGATTGATTCATGCCATGTATACAAATGTGCATGTATATGTATTTCAATACGATTGCTATTACACATATACTAAACTTCCGTTAATTCCCTATTTACTATATATGCAGTGACAAGAAACCAAAAAGTGTGATAATTTTTTTATATAAATTGCTGTGTAAATTTCATTTAATCATTGTCAAGGCAGACATGTATTTTTATGTTTGTTAAATAAAATATATAAATATTTGAGCGAAGTTTGTTACTTTATCATCTCGTTTTGTTAGCTACATTGTATAACCAAGAGGAATTCTGTATGCTTGTGACCCTACATTATAAGGTAGAATCTTGAGGCATTCCGAATTGATTATAACTCAGAAAAAATTGGGCTTAATTTATGTCGACACCGGCAGTATTGGGCATCGCAATGAATATTAAAAAGACGGTATTTATTTTCATTGGCCATAGGAAAAAGCATTGCCGACAGCTTTGCATATAATTAACCTTATTTCCCACCAATGTTCAAGCTGATTGGTCGACCAACCAAAGCAATGCCCATAGATTCCTGGAGTTGTTCATAAAAGTTGCTACAAAATGGCGCTTGGATTCTGCCTGAATATGATGGAAAATGTTCATTTGACGAATGATTCTCGTCATTAAGCACGTCAATAGTAATATCTTAACCATCAGTGCAACATGATTAAGAAATTAACAAATGTTCAAACTTGTACAACATGGATCCATTCGGCAATATACACGAAATTGTGAAAATGTAAGTCCGCGGTCGATAAACTCGTACGTTGACAAAGGACAAGGGACATCACTCTAATTTTTGAAATTTAGTACAAATATTTCACAGTATGCCGAAACTGGAGACACGTTCAGCTGCTTGGACGAGTCTCTGTACTTCTCCTTTCCTTTCCTTCTCCAATAACTCCTAGCGCGCTGAATATTCTCCACGCTGATTGTGCAGATAAAGTCCAACACCCTAATTCAATTTTATTGCTGATGTGGATCCCTAACAACATCCACGGTGCAATGTCACAATTTCGGTTTCAGATCAGGACAGAGATCTGAATATAGAGGTCTGACGACAAGTGCCCATTAGACACTTATGTGCTATTTGTGTATGTAATTTAAAAAGCTATTATAACGACTATTATATACATCATAACACAGGCAAATATCGAATAAGAACAAATCACTTTTATAGAAAATAATAAATCAATCAATACGCTAAATGAAAATTAATTGACTGTAGAGAAAAGTTTCACTACGAATGAAAAGAAATTTCTCTGATACGAAACTTGCGAACTGAACATATTCAGGTAGAGGCTATATAATATCTACAACTGTTCGAGCCTGTGCTGTACATCTTGTGGATTATCGATGGACGTCCGACAACCTGAATTCTTGTAACACTAGGAAGTTGACACCATTAGGATAAATAATACAGTCTATCTAAACACTCGGTGACACTACAAGAGATCCGTGGCGAGCGAACAAATAGTACATTAGAAATCTGTTTTATTATCTTTTTATCAATAATATTTATGTTTATTAGAAAACACATCGTTTCATTTAAATATTTGTTTTTAACGTTTACACTCATATATATATATACATATACATTTGTAGTCTCTGAAAAAAATCGTACAAAATCTCAATAAATTACAATAACAAGAAACCGGAATATTTTAAGTTAATGAAATTTAAATATCTCTGAAGAACGTGTTCGAATGTAATGTTGTTCTACAGGAAGTAAATGGCCATGCATTTACATCATCTTAACCTTTACCCTTATAAATCGATGAAACGAGAGCACAATATATATGTAGACAAAACAAACAAACAAGCAAAACCCGAAACATGGGGTTTGGATTATGATTATGTTGACATTTCGGTAATTTATTTTTTTTTTCTTGAAAAGTAAACTTCTTTTGCTTCGTCTACAACACCATGAAGGATCTGCAATATCTAATATGTTATATCATGGAATTATTTCCTTAACAAGCATTGTTTTACATCCTTATTGTACAGAAATTCCACATGTCGTTTCATGAGGGTACAAAGACATATCACACCTACTTT